GTCCTCTAGAAACCAGAACGTCTGTCAAAGACATAACAAAAGACAGACATTCCTAAAGGCCAGAAGGATAACAGTCTTGCATTATTTATTTGAAACATTTTTTATACTGCCAGTCATGAAAGGATTTCAGGATGGTGTACACTGTACATACAACATCTGCCCATCATAATGCAACAAAACTATCACTATAACTGCCAATTACATGGAATACATATAACAACAAATAACGAAACTCATACTGATCAGTGTGTACAATATCTTATAATAAACATTTTAAAATTATTTCAAAAGGTCTGGCCATATTCTTGTGTGCAGTGAAGGAGGATTTATTTCTGTCATGTTCTGGTTTCTTTACAAAAACCATTGTTGGTTGCCAAGTATTATAAAATGAAAAGGGACTAGAATTTCCTCTGGCAGCTTTGAGTCTGCTTATCAGTTTCTCAGCCAATGCTACTCACCATATTATTTGGATACAATATTTAAACCTTCCTCATGTTTCCGACACTTGGCAACTTCCATGCTCACTGCCATTAACACGAAGGAGAGCAAATCATTGTTCAGTGATCCCTGAGGGTGGGTAGCTCTTATGCCCAACAATGCTAGTTCAGGTGTCATATCTATTATCATTCCACACATTATTTACATTAACCACCCCCCACAACCAAAAATATTTTTACAACCTCCCCAATGCCACCACATGTGGACATAGGTACCTAGAGTGTTACATCCCTACCAGCAGGCTTGATTAACTTGGAAATTCTAGAGAGCTGTGCTGTTGTGTTGTACTAGCCATGTAGTAGCTTCAGGGTGGATTTCCAGATCTTGGACGAGAATGATTTCAATGGTCTCTTGGTCCATAGCGCTTTCCAATTTTTGTTTGAGATTTGTATACCTAGGTTGGTTTCCCAGAGTACTCTGCCCTACCCCTAAAAATCTAAGTAACTAAAACAAATAACACTTCTCTTCTAATTCTCCTAGCCTCACTCTTTAGTTCCTCCCCTTTCTCTAACATGTCTCATGCCCACATTGCTTGATGATTTTTAAGCCAGCAGCAAGAGATGTCACAAGGATGGCACTGTTACCTTGGCAACTGGAGCTGGGTGGGGGTGATTAGCAAAATCAATCCTCCTGGCAAACTGGGAATATCCCCTCACCCACCCAAGTTTAGGATATTCCACCATTCTTCAGCAGAGCTTCTCTTCCTTTGAGAAAAATAAGTGGCTCACGTATATCTAAACTAAGCTTTAATAATAAAGAAAACTGTAACAAAATAACATAATGAGACTCTCAGTGCTGGATTTATGTATAAACTAAACAAGCTATAGCTTAGGGCTCCACTCTCTTGGGGTCCCCCCAAAAAATTAAAGGAAAAAAAACCTGGATGTACATTTCCAAAATACAAGATAAAAAACAAATAAAATAAAACCTACATACAGCAACAGTGTTTTGTGTTTTGTAGGTTCCTGTTTGTTATCTGCAAATGGCTTTAGATACCTATTAGGTCCCTAAATTACCATATAGCATATATTCAACAAAAAACAGCGACAATTTGTTGTTGACAAAGGACAGCTGGACATATAAAGGGCCCCATTACCTCCAGTAGCTTAGGGCCTCATCAAACCTAAATCCAGCCCTGAATGAGAGAGGTTAAATACAATATGAGGCAAGTCTGAGGCAAGAAGCAAAAAGAGGCAGTTGGTCCCTCTTAACTGACATTCTTAACGGAACACAGATTGAAGGGAGGGGCTGATTCCGGAGCAAAACACACAAGCCCCGCCCACCAGATACCAAACACTCTACTGATCAAATTAGGCCCCAGTGTTTTCCTTACGGCAAGTTACCTACCTGGACCGTTATCACTGATCCTCCAGAGTTTTGGTGTTTCTTCAAAACTTTGAGGCACCTGCTGTTCTGACTTCATTAAACAACATTTCTAAAGGTAAACCATCCCAGCCTCCTTCTATGTACAGCAGAAAACTCATACCTCCAATGTCTATGGGAAAGGTTGTAGCTCATTAGAAGAGCATCTGCTCTGCATGCAACAGGTACAACAGACCTGTGGGACAAATCAGCCACATATACTGTAACCAGCCTACTTAGCTCTAGTAAGTGCATGAAGGGGTTAAGGCCATAGAGTAAGCTGTTTTCCCAGACTTAACTAGGTCATGCCCCCTCACCTTGGAAGGAAGGAAGGAAATCAAGACCATTTGTTTGTTTGTTTGTCTCCCTTTTTTGCACTTATGTAACTGACCAGGAAGGATATCTTTGCTGATCACTCCAAGTCCAGATGGTTGTGTGGCTTAAACAAGCCATCTTTGTGTTTCTATACAAATAAACTGGAAACTGGAAACACTTAGTGTACCATGTGAACTCCATGTGTAATAGAGGTCTGGATTTCAGTAGTCTGCCCATGAGATCTGCAATACTTCAGGAAATGACCAGACCATCTCGCTGCTGAAGATTCCTCTAGGTCCTTTCCAGCTCTACAATTTATAATCCTATTATCTTCACACACACACACACACACACACACACACACACTTACACACACACACACACACACACACACACACACACACTTCCTCCATTTGATCTCAGCAGATGCGGCTGACTGATAACCTCTCCCCCATTTTTTGCTCACAACAATCCTGTAAGGTAGGTTAGGCTGTGAGGCTGTAATTGACTCAAGGTGACCATGTGAGCTTTATGGGGAAACTGGGATTTGAACCTGATATCTGAGTGTGTTACCATGTGCATTGGGCAGACAAGGTGGGAGCAACCCAGAGCTCACACAATTATCCTTGATATCAAAATTGAAATGCTAAAAGTATGTAACCCTGAAAACTACAAAGGCCCAAAACACTGCAACTTGATGCTTGTGTGCTTTAGTGTGTGGGGACTACAGAGTGGTATGTATTGGAGATGTGCTTAGAAGTCTGGTTTTGTACTTTATTAAGATAAAGCAAAATTTATTCCACACCATCACCTCCATGTCATTTTGCTGGTGGTGGCAGGGTGAGAGTGCCATTGTGTGGTTCGCCTCAGGTGCCAAAATGTCTTGAGCCAGCCCTGGAAGAAGGTTAGGGTAAGAACAAGTTTAGGATGATGGCAGCTGGTGCTCAGGCTTCCTCCATAAGAAAAGTCTTACTAGATCAGGCTAAAGGCACATGTAGTCCAGCAGTCTGTTCCCATAGTGGGCAACCCAATGCATTGGGGGTAAGGCCACAGCAGGAAGCATTCTGCTATATTCCATAGATTTTTATTGATCCTGAGTTGTCTGAAAATTTTGTGACCACTTTGGGAGATGGTACACTTGCAAAGTGTTAAGTCAGTGATTTCAGTAAGTATATACCCAAAATAATGGTCATGAAGGCCAGAGAGAGAGAGAGTGTGTCCTGGGCAAGGTTTTCTCCAGCGGGAACTTCCAAGGAAAGCCTTGCATCCCCTTCCTGTCAAACGAGGCAATGGGGTTGCCAGGCATTTCAGTGGTCAGATCAGCCACAGTGGGGACTGGCGGTGAGACTGGTAACTGTATCACTCAGGAGTGCCTGGCTTTGAGAGGAAAAGTACAAGGCAATGCAGCTGCCATCTTATGTTACCCACAGAATACCTCTGGGCCCAACGCCTAGCATTGCATGCATCAGTAATGCTATGCTGGGGTCCAATAGTTGGAGAAGTTCAATTATTGTAGGTTTGTTGTGTTTCAGAAAATGTGAATAAGGTGGGTTCACCTTTAAATGCAAACAACTGGATTTCTCCTCCATCCCTAATCTTTAACTGGGTAGGTTATTTCAATAGAAACCCTGCTCCTCCAGGGAGCATTTTGACACTACACACAGAAACAAATGCCCCCAGTACTCGGTCAAGGTCCATCCAGTTCACCTTAGCAGTTTAATATCAGGATTTGATTTACACGACAGGCTTTGAAATCATGGCCTGGAGGGGAAAGGGTCCATCTCCTGTTTCTATTTTATTTTATATGGGGTGGGAGGAGTAGAAGAGCAAGGAGAAGTCCAAGCAGGAGGAAATATATAAAAAGCTGGTGCCTAGGAGACAACAACCTCTGTTCCCTTTCCGTTCTGTGCGGACTCGGCGTCTCCCGTTCCCTAAGGCATTATCAAAGGAAGCACTTCAGTCAAGAGAAATAGACAGTACTGCCTCCTTCAACAGCCACTTTCTCTGGTATTTGATGTGAGATTTCTCTTAGAAATAAATAGAACCCAGCTCCCCTTTGCTCCATTCTCTTCCAGTGAGCTGGCCTGTCACCTTTGATGTCACTAGGCAAAGACGAGCCTCAGACTAAATGGCGCCCCAGACAAGAAGCATATTCAGGCTCTCCTGTCTGTTTTTTCGATATTTGAATGCTTCCTACCTCCTTGCATTTATAGCCCAATTCAAAATGCAGCTTTTGCATACATTAATCACCCCATTGTATGATATATTTTGGTGCATGAATCTGATCACTATTGCTTGAGTCCAAAGGACAGCTCAGGAGGCCTTTATTTATTTAATAAAATTTATACACTGCTTGATTGTAAAACAAAACAAACAAACAAACAAACAAACAAGCCCACAAAAACCACAAAAAAACCACAAACCCTCAAAGTGGTTTACAAAGTGGCATGTCAAGGAGCAAGCCAGAAGTAAGAACCAAAGGATGAAGAACAAAGGGCTGCATCAGAGGTCATAAAAAACTTGTTCCTCCAGCAAATCCTAATCAGAACAGCTGGCCCTTTTAACTCATTCCTGCCAAGGATTCAATAGTCAGCATGGATGGGCAAAATCAGTCTAGGGCAGAAGAAGGGAACCCTTTTCAATCCAAGGACTACATTCCTTCTGGGGCAATCTTCCATGCCCACCATGGCATGCCAGTGGTGGGTGGTGGGTGGGTGGACCCACAAATAAAAGTGGGCAGTGCAACAAATGCAGTTTTTACCTTTTTTACAGTAGGCTAAGTTCTACACACATTTACAGATCCCTCTTGTTTTCCATGCACACAACTAAGAGGCATTATTGGAGGTCAGGGACACATTCAAGGCACTTGGAATGTGCAGCAGGGCTAGTGAGCAGCGTAGGCTGGGAACAGGGGTGTCTGTGAGGACTAGGGAGAGTTCCAAGGGCCAGACAGAAAGGCATTGTGGGCCGCATTTGGGCCCCAGCTCTGAGGCTCCTCCCACCTCTTTTCTCGGGCCTGAAGGACCTTCACTGAGAAGGCACCTTTTGAAGTTCATTGTTTCATCCCATGGGGCCACTGCAGAAGGATGCAGCAATTCTCGATTGCCTGTGAAAGATAGAGATGGGGGAGAATTTCAGTTCAGTTCACATTATAATACAAACATGCCCTCAAATGATATACTAATGGAATATAGCTGCCTTTCAAATTTCTCATGACTTAATTTTGCAGTGCAATTCTCATAGCAAAAAAGTATAAATGTGTATATCAGAGGACAGTGTTGCAAAACATTAGTGAAGAAAACATGCATTATATATGGAGAAATTTCTTGCAAAAGCATGAATATCAGAACAGAAGAAATGTGCACTTAAGAGATGGCAAACCCATGGACAGCCAGTTAAAAGCAGCCCACCTGATCCTTTTCCCTAAAGAATTACTCCTTTGCCTGTAACAGCATCTGGACACATAGAAATTAAGTAGGTGCAGAACCAGAACCACATGCACCTTTCGTTTTATCACCACTGCTCTGCCAAAAGTTTTCTCTGCTTGTTTTTTTAAAAAAAATTACTTTCCCTTTTGGGGCCAAATAGAGAAAATATCTAAAGATGGGGCAAACATGTGCAAGTACAATGTACCTCTGAGGTGAAGGGCAATAAGCTCAGTAGTGGTATAGCACCTGCTCTGCATGCAATAGGTTCCAGGCTCCATCTCCAACATTTTCAGGTAGAGAATGTCCTCCTTCTGAGACCCTAAGTGCTACTGCCAGTGTCAGCAATACTGAGCTAAGATGGACTAACTCAGTATATTGTATGTGCCTAAATTCCACACATATAAGCTAAGAGGGTGGTCTACAGAATTCTTCCTAAGGAGAATCTGTAGATGTCATTTTTAACGTGCATTCATGATGGACACAAGCAGGTTATACACGATCCTGCTTTTCAATACTGTTTGCAGCTGCAAAAGTTTCAGGGTAGACATATTCCGTAGCTTTCCACTGGCATCCTGTAACTTTTTATATCACAAATGTTTGGGGGGGGTGTTGAGGGGGGGTCCTATTTTTGTTGTGCTGCAGTGCAAGAGTGCCCTCTAGGTAGCAGTAATGTAGTAACAGTAGGGAAGCATCGTAGAAAAATTAATAAAGCAGAATGAGGTGCTGATAGCCTAGTATAAATCCACCACTAATGCATTATTAATGTCAGAAGAAACCCACAAAATAACCATCACCCTGGAGTAGCCCTAAGTCCCACGGAATTCAGTAGTGACTTACTATGGTGTTTTGCAGCACTCTGTAACATCTACCTGCGCTCATTTGCAAGGGGCATATGTCAAGGCATTGTTTTTCTTGTAAAAGAAAGAAAAAAGCATCCTGTATTTCTGTTACTTGTTTTGTCAGCCTCTGGAGGCACTAGAGTCCTCTTGCAGCAATAGTCACCTTATCACATATGTGGCTATATTATTTCTATCCTCCGGGGGTCAGGTATAGAAGATAGTTAATTTTAGGTGTGTTCATTGGTTTTTGTTTGTGTGCGGGCAGAATTCGTGTAGGCAACAGCCTAATTAATCTCCAACCTAAATTAGATTATGATAGAAGTTATGTGTAATGGTTGTCAATTGACCAGAAAATGCACCCTGGGCTGCTCCTATGCCTTTAACAGCAGCTTCATTTGCAAGAATCAGCAGGTGAAGTTTGATGCAAGGTCCTAAGAATTAGGCTCACCTGCTAATGTTGGCAGTGAGTTTTTGCTGTTCAAACACAAAAGCAAAATAACATAACTAAGCCCGAGACAATTATTATAATAGAAACACCTGGTTGTCCAGTAACCTAACATCTTCATGGCACATAACCATTTAAAGTAAACTGCACCAGCTGCAGTATGGACACTTCCAGACGGTCGGTCTCTTGATGTGGGATCCAGTCATATAGCAACAACTTCAGGTTGCACAATAAAAGTTGATGGGGAGGTCTTGGCAATAATAACCCTGCTTCCTTCAAAAGATCAGGCTTTTGTGATAAGGAAAATGATGAGGAAACACTGCAAAATGTGGGATAATACTTGTTTTGATAGCATCATCTAACCTTTCCGCAAACCAGAATGAATCATCATTAAATATCCAGTGTCCTCTAATCTCCCAATAAACAGATCAGAACAAATGGTCAATAAGCAGACTAATCAAGTAGCACCCTGGGTAGAATGGCAAGGGTCAGACACTACTTGGTGTTTCAGTGCCCATGGGGATATTTTTACATGAGCGCATAAATGCACTTTCAACAGCACTCAGATAATTTGTTAGATTTTTAATTTTGGTTTATATTGTTTATCAGCCACATAGCAGCCTCTACCAACCTGGTGCCATCTAGATGTTTTGAATGACAACTTCCACCAACCCCTCTGACATCCTGCACAGCAAACAATGCATGTTGGGAGGACAGCATGCCACTCTAACAGCATGGGGTGGTTATCATGAGGAGAGGAACTCTGTCAGATACCTAGCTACGAAGATGCAAGGGTTTTATGTGGCTTGATAACAGACTGGACCTCAGAGCTGATCTCACAAGATAATTGTTAAATGATGTATCATTGCATTATCAGTCGGTTTTCTTGTGGCTGCATTCTGCACTAGCTTCAGTTTCTGGGCAATTTTCAAGGGCAACCCTACACAGAAGGCATTACAATAATCTTTATAGGAGGTAAATCAAGCGCAGGGCAGTAGCAAGCATAGGCATACTTAGGCACCCTTGCACCCTTGGCAAAGAGCTGCATTGGCACCCCCGTCCCTTGATCACTGCTGGCTCTCCCATCTTTCTTTTCTCTCTAAGTCCTGCTGGGTGCTCTGCTCACACTTCTGATAGTGCCGCTGGCCAATGCCAGCAGTCAGATTTCTCCATCAAGGCACCCAGAGGAGCCTGTGTGCCTTGGCAGCTGCCTAGAGCAGCGGAGGTGCAGCCTAGGGAAAACGTGGGTGGGTGGATGGGCTCATAGCCACTCCAAGCCGGACTGGAAAGGAACAATTTTTGGTGTGCCTCTGGGCCTGTTGGTTCCTTTGGCTGGGGGCCATCATGGCCAACCCCTAGATTACACCCCTGGTGGCAAGGCTGTCTAGCAGAAGTAACATAGGAGACATATTTTGTACACACACATATATAATTTTTATATATAATTATATATATATATTTATTAAATTTTCTGTTTTACAATTTAAAATACTTATTTTAACTGACTTCCCCTCTTCTCTTTTCATGGTTCATTTTATATATCATAAATACCTGCATATTTTACAAAAACTATACCATTCGGTATTCCATTATTGCATAAGGGGGATAAGAGGCTGTGAAGTTTCCAGTTGACCATTGGTGCTCAGATAGCAGACTGAGTGGCACACCTGTTACCTTGGCAGTCTTGCCCACTATGGTGCAATGTGACATGTTGCAGGACTATATCTCCCATCATCCCTGACCATTGGCCATGCTCACCAGGGCTGATGGGAGTAGGAGTCTAACACCATCTGAAGGATAGGGCACCCTGTTGACAACACCCTGTTGACTGCACCCTACAGTCATGTCATACACGTCTGTCTTTGTGGCCACACTAGAAGAGTCCTTGGTAAACTCAGGTAACAGGTACTGTGTGGTGGGGGTAGAACTGAAGCAGTGATGGGGCAAGGGCAGAGGTTGGCTGTTGTTACAAGCACCCAAGAGTTCCTGTTTTCATCTCTGGTGTGGCGAAGAATGGTGGAATCTCTACAAAACATGGCTGTTCAAGAACAGCTGGTGGTTGTATTTCACAAGGAAAATGCTGCTTTGAAATCCACTCCTGAAAAGCCTGGGGTCCCAAGTGTGCCAGTGTTAGAGGAGAAGTGGAGCGCTGAGGTGGAGGCTGGCAATGGGCTGCAGGAAGTACAGTGGTACTTTGGGTTAAGTACTTAATTCATTCCGGAGGTCCGTACTTAACCTTAAACTGTTCTTAACCTGAAGCACCACTTTAGCTAATGGGGCCTCCTGCTGCCGCCACGTCGCCAGAGCAAGATTTCTGTTCTCATCCTGAAGCAAAGTTCTTAAGCTGAAGCACTATTTCTGGGTTAGCGGAGTCTGTAACCTGAAGCGTATGTAACCTGAAGTGTATGTAACCCGAGGTACTACTGTATAAGGTGAGGTTTGATCAGGGAGGAGTTGAAGCTCATCAGTGAAGCATATGCTCTGCATGCAGAAGGTACCAAATTTGATGCATAAGGGCATCTCTAAGCAGTGCTGGGAATGTCTTCCATCTGAGAACCACTGCTTGTACTGAGCTCGATGGACAAATGGTCCGATCCAGTAATAATTATAATATAATAATAATAATTTATTATTTATACCCCGCCCATCTGGCTGGGTTTCCCCAGCCACTCTGGGCGGCTTCCACAGAGACCAAAAATACACTAAAATGTCACACATTAAAAACTTCCCTTAAGATGTATTTTGAATGTCAGGTAGTTGTTTTTCTCTTTGACATCTGGTGGGAGGGCGTTCCACAGGGCGGGCGCCACTACCGAGAAGGCCCTCTGCCTGGTTCCCTGTAGCTTTGCTTCTCGCAATGAGAGAACCGCCAGAAGGCCCTCAGCGCTGGACCTCAGCGTCCGAGCTGAACGATGGCGGTGGAGACGCTCCTTCGGGTATACAGGACCGAGGCCGTTTAGGGCTTTAAAAGTCAGCACCAACACTTTGAATTGTGCTCGGAAACATACTGGGAGCCAATGTAGGTCTTTCAAGACCGGTGTTATGTGGTATCGGTGAATGCCCCCAGTCACCAGTCTAGCTGCCGCATTCTGGATTAGTTGTAGTTTCCGGGTCACCTTCAAAGGTAGCCCCACGTAGAGCGCATTGCAGTAGTCCAAGCGGGAGATAACTAGAGCATGCACCACTCTGGCGAGACAGTCTACGGGCAGGTAGGGTCTCAGCCTGCATTCCAGGTGGAGTTGGTAGACAGCTGCCCTGGATACAGAATTGACCTGTGCCTCCATGGACAGCTGTGAGTCCAAAATGACTCCCAGGCTGCGCACCTGGTCCTTCAGGGGCACAGTTACCCCATTCAGGACCAGGGAGTCCTCCACACCAGCCCGCCCCCTGTCTCCCAAAAACAGTACTTCTGTCTTGTCAGGATTCAACCTCAATCCATTAGCCGCCATCCATCCTCCAACTGCCTCCAGGCACTCACACAGGACCTTCACTGCCTTCACCGGTTCTGATTTGAAAGAGAGGTAGAGCTGGGTATCACCTGCAAATTGATGGACACCCAGTCCAAACCCCCTGATGTTCTCTCCCAGCGGGAGATGTTAAATAGCATGGGGGAGAGGACAGAACCCTGAGGCACCCCACAAGTGAGAGCCCAGGGGTCTGAACACTCATCTTCCCCCCACTTTCTGAACATGGCCCAGGAGGAAGGAGCAAAACCACTGTATAACAGTGCCCCCAGTATCCTCCTATGTGCCAAAGCACAAACAGAAGACAGAGTCGAAGAGTGTAGCTGAGGCATTTGGACCAGGCCCAACAATTTCACAAAGAGGCTGAACAATTGACCTTTCCCTGTGATTCCCCCTCCCCTAAAAATATCTCTGTTACAGGATGCAAACTAATTGGCTGTGCTCAGCTAGTGTGTGTGGGGGGGGGGAGGCTCGTTGCTTTCTGACTCATCCACTCAGACAACAATGGCCAGGAGAAAGTTCACAGTGTCGTCATTGGGTTCTGCTTTCTTGACCACAGCTGAACTCTGGCACAATGAGGGCACAATGTATTGCCTGGATGAGAACTCTGGGTTTGAAATATTCTGGTACCAGGAGGGGCCAGAGGGAGCGGCTGGTGTTGCTGCTCAGAGGTGTCATAGAACAGGGACAAAGGGCTGTTAGAATGATCTAATCTCCTGGGGCACTTTTTGCCAATTCTCTGTGTGCCAAATAAATAAGCTTTTCTTAGAGAAAATCCCACTAAATATGATCTGCAGAGGAAGAGGTATGATACACCAGTGTTTCCCAACCTTCTTCCAACCTTGTTTCCTTCCTGTGCCCTCCCGGCATAGCCAAGGGGGGACAGCTACCCTCCAAAATAAGTAAAAATCAATACAAATCTGAGGTTCTGACCCCCTCTAACAAAAGCTTGCCCCCCAACAAAAATCCTGGCTACACCCATAGCCCCCCTCCTACTGGTAGAAAGGTAGCTATTTAAATGTTTTGTTTGTAAATGGAACATGTTTTATTTATAATTTATACAATTTATACAAAATTCAATTACATAAAATGATAGGAACATATTGAAATATTGTTGAAGCAAAAGAACATAGAATCATAGAGCTGGAAGGGACCCCAAGGGTCATCTAGTCCAACCCCCTGCAATGTAGGAAACTCAGCTAAAGCATCCATGACAGATGGCCATCCAACCTCTGCTTAAAAACCTCTTAGTCCAGAACCAACCAAGGGAGATTCATCTTCCGTGTATTATAAAAAGTAAACACTTATTTGACCCCAGTTGTTTGACGTAGAGGGGTAAACCTCCAGGTACAGTCCAAAAGGTGCACAGCGAGCTCTGTATGTATGGGTTAATTTTAAAAAGCAAGTGGTTCTCACTGACCAGGTGCAAAAAGATCTTGTCATCCTGAGGAGCCCTGGCTGCCTAGATAAAACACTATAACCCCACACACCCTTACCTGGGAATAAGGCCCACTGAACTCAGTGTGGCTTTCTTCTGAGTAGACAGTTATTTACTAGATGCAGGTCAGCAGCACCAGACGACCCTGCTTGGCTAGGCCTGGAGAGGATTTCACCCTGAGCCTTGCAGAGCTGGATCAATGCTGCCAACGGGCTCTGCCCCGTGGCAATATCCAAATGCCCTGATCCACTAGGCGCTGGGGTGAATTGCACCCTGCACCTTGCAGAGTCATGCCCAGGCTGCCACTGGGCCCAGCACTGGCGGCAGCAACAAGCAGCTCCGGCTTGCCCAGCCCTACCCATTGCCACCCCACCACCGCACTTACTTGACTTGGGGGTTCTGGATTGTGGGCTCTACTGGTCAAAACAGAGGCCTCAGAGATCACCCTCTCCCACCGGAAACAAACCAGGACTGCTCCAAGAAAACACACATGGCAAAAAGGAGCATTAGGCTCTGGTGGGCTGCCCCCTTATCCGCTCGTGATTGGCCTAGCAGATAGCCAGCCAATCAGGATTATTTAACTTCTCACTTCCCTTTGTGGTCCCCTAGCCTCACGATTTTCACCTGTGTCCCCCTTGGAATATCCGGGGGATTGGGGCCAGGGGGCCATATGGCCTCTGATTGTGAAACACTGGGATACACAAGCATACATAGGGTTGCTATATTTCAAGAAGTGAAAATCAGGACAAAGTTGCCCAACGTTTTTCCGCTTTTTTGGCAAAACCGCAAAAATCAAAGTTTTTGAGCTATTTTAAAGGGAAATCGCCAAAAGCGACACTGCCCACAAGGGTTGCCATACGTCCGGATTTTCCTGGATGTTTTTAGCAATTTCTGCCCAGACACTCCCTCTGACTGCAGTAATCCCGCTATGTGTGGGAAATTCTGGACATATGGCAATCCTAAGCATACACAGCTAAGGGTTTAACTGCCTGTTGTGAGTCTAGGCAGATGTGTCTTGATGATACCTATCATCCCTTCCAAAGCTGCAATCCTGTATCAGTGGCAGTAGAATTTGTAAGCAGGAACCTGTTAGATCAGTTTCTTTGTCAAGGTGTCTTCACCACTCAGTTAAGTACCTGTCATCCACATCTTAAAAAGTGAGCTTTGTTGCCATAGAGACAAAAGGGTGGGGGCGGACATTTGCTGCCTCAAACTGAATGCCTTTTGGGGATCGAAAGGCCCAGGAGTGTACGTGTATGAGAAAGAGTTTTGGCTGACGCTGGGAGGTGGAGACACTGAGGCATGATTACTCTCTGCTGGACAAAAGACAGTGAGCTTGGGGCTTCCAGGGAAACCTAATGGGGAAGCAAGAACTTTTGCAGTGTTAATGCTGTGAGCCACTCTATCCTATGCTCTTGTTGCATATATGTGTAAAAACAACAACAAGTATCCTGAAGACACCACCAGAGAGCACAGAAGCCTGGCTAGAGCAAGGAGGTTCACACCCCACAACGGAACAGCCAAGAGCATGATCCTGGGCACTGGTCCTGGTTGTGAGGTGGGCCTCCCTTCTGTGTGCAATGGTTTGCGTACACATAGCTGTCAATGTTTCCCTTTTTTAAAGGGAAATTAGCTTATTCTGAATAGGATTCCTCGCAAGAAAAGGGAAAAGTTGACAGCTATGTGCGTACATGTGTATGACAGAGATCTGTGGAGCAAACTGCCCAGATACCATTGATAGATGGGAAAGCTGTCACTGTACCTGAGCATCACAAGATGCAAGTACAGAAGATTGCAGTCTATAAAACACTATCAACAAATCAGTTGAGAGGGGAAAAACAAAAGGGGGGGGGGGAACAAATTAGTTGAGACTCCTGCATTGCAGGGGGTTGAACTAGTTGACCCTTGAAGTCCCGTCTACAAATCTACAATACTCTGATTCTATGACTGTGAAGGGTGGTATAAAGATACCTTAATAAATCAATAAATACTTCCCCCCTCATCCAGCCCTATTTTGTGTAACATATAGCCTGTTGAAGCGTATCCGAGAACTAAAAATTGTGCACTCTTTTGTGGTATTTTGGTTGATCCGAATAAATTTATTGTTCAATTGTTTATTCTAAAGTGTCCCGCCTGCTCCCCGATTATGGACCAATATATTTTTGTTTTTCGATTTTATTTGCTGGTTATTTAACAATAGCTAAGAAGCAGAGACAGGGACAGAAATGCAACATTGCCACTAGGGGTCGCCGTAACACCAAGTAGAAGTTGGAATTTTGTGAAATGAAAGCTTCCCCTTAACGTATTTCCTTTTGGAGTTCATAATACGGACTAATTTCAGTTTTTAAAAATAAAGTATTGGCATTGCCAGAGATTTAACTTGGGAACTTTTGAATACAAAGCATATGCCTGATTTCACAGTAGATACCACAAATTAACCATGTGCTGTGGGGGGGGTGCGTGTGTGGAATACTTCCTTTTGTCTGTTCTGAATCTCCCACTGTTTTGCTTCATTGGATGATTCCTGAGTTTTAAGGCTCCTTCAGACAACCTGCTTATTAAGCATTCATCCTGATTTGCGTACACAGAATGTCAGACCGTATCCTGTCTGTTATGTACTGAGTTGAATAGGATCCAAACTGCAGCAGTCTGATTGGTCCTAGAACAATAGGATCCAAATTGCAGCAGTCTGATTGGTCCTAGAACAATAGGATTCAGAATGCAGCAGTCTGATTGGTCCTAGAACAATGCAGCAGTATGATTGGTTGGCAGAAACCACCCAATCATGCTCCAGATATAAGTGAATCCACAACCTGATTGGCTTACAGTAGAATTCCAGAATTAGCCAATCATGTGCAGCCCACTGTGTAAATAATGTATACAGTATAAAGCAGATACTTTGAGGGGACTTTCATTCCTCCTCACCACTATGAGCTGAATAAAGAGCATGAAATCACTTTGCGACTCTGAGTATATTTCACTGTCTTTATCCAGAGCATTTTATTGGATTGTTTTCAGAGTAGTTATACGACAATGAGCAGCCATCCTGATTTGCTTGCAAGGTGTGTGTGCGTGTCTTCCTGTTAATCACTCATTCATCCCATAATTTTTCAGTGCATTTTCCCCAACTTGCTCACCTGCTTTCAGCCCTTAATTGGCTCTGCAGCTACAACTAACTTTATAAAGTCACCATTCACATTTCCCTAAAAAACAAACAAAGCCCTAACAATATGCCAGGAGAATGGATAACAATACTGGAGTGTGCTGCAGGGTCATAATACACTACTTTCCCCTGTCTGCAGTAAAGTGGGTTATAACAAGACTGGACTGTTTTGCTGGGCTGGTGTAATCCCCATTCTTTCAGCCCCCACCCCACTCCCTACAATATTAGTAAAATATCAATGGACTTTCTCTGTGCTGGCATTGCTAGGGTAATTTTTTTTAATGCTTACAAGGTCTACACTTTCTTGTATGAAATAAGATCAGAGTTGGAAACATCATTGCCTCTGTTGCAAACTAGTTTGGGGAGTAGGTACACTACTACCTTGTTGCAGCTGCACTCAGAATAATAATAATATATTTCTCATGTTTTTAAAAATGAGCAGAATAGTACAGTACATGTATATTTTGCCTCTTTTCTTGGGTTCTACAAGGGCTACAAATTCACGGTAGGATTCAATTCAGAGTATGCCTATTGAAATTAATGGACAGTCATGTCCATTTATGTCAATGGGTCTACTCTGAGTAAAACTCAGCTGAATGTCACCTTTGCTCCCACTGCAGCCTCTAAATGACATCTGGGAATCTGTGGATTATGGGAAAGGGCAGCAATTGCCCCCTTACCCTCCTAAAGATGTCAATCATCATTCTACTTGTCCCACTCGCAAGGCTATTTGAATGCCTAACAACCAACACATCTTGCATTGGGCGTTGACTGCTAAATGTATAGGCCTGGGAAAGAGAGAGAGAAAATGAATTTTGGTATTAGCCACAACCAGCACATTTCCTGTCAAAAAAGTCAACCAAGTTGGAATGTAAGTCTTGGGTAATTGGGGATACATTCTCCAAGGTTTAGGAGATGAATGAATTCTGCATAGTGTGCAAAGACCCATCCAACTTTAGGTCACATTTTCATTCACATTCTTACCCTTCGGTGGATGTTCTCCAATAGCCTCAGGGGTGCCTCTGACCATGTCTAGATAGGATCTTCATTACCACCAAAGAATTTAAGCTTGCCCCCAAACATTTCCATTCTCATACCAAAAATGTCATCCAGAATAGTTTGCACATCCTATGCCCACCCTGCAAATGTGCGCGTGTGCGTGCGTGCACGTGCCTCCATTATTATTATTTAAATCTGAAGCACAAAAGAGACTGTTGCCCTAGATGTGCACTAAAAATAAAGAGATTAAAAATAAACCCAGAGAATGCTGTGCATTTTAATTCCTCATGAAAGCCATTGAGGGTTTTGGGTTTTTTTACTGTCATCCTCTAGAGGCAGCAAGGAACAAACAGCTTTCAACAGAAAGGAGTATCAGATGCTGGCAGATAGTGTTGCTATGGCAATTTCAATTTTGCATCTCTGTGGTTTGATGTAAAGGTTTATGAAGGGCATCTCCTGGAAGAGTTATCACCATTATGGCTAGTGCTGCAGGTATCACCACAGACAGGTTAAAAAACTTCAGTGCATTAATTCTGCCCATCACGTATAAGGAGACTTTCCTCAAATGACTTTGCAATGTATACTTACTCAGAAATCCTACTGAATTCACTAAAAGTGCTCCTTAGAGAAATTGCAAGGACTATATCTTGTATTCCTGCTGGAGTGTATGCTAGAGAACTTGAAATCAAGAGAGCTGACATAATTATGGCTGCTACAAACATGCATATGTTGCAGGGTGTGCGTTCTGTTCTGTTATTGCCTCTGTGGACCAAACTACATGTGATGTTAAACACATGTTAAAATAACCATGCTCAATTGGCCACTTTCATTTTTGAGAAGAAACAGCTGCAAGGCCTCATTCTGGTACTTCCTCCCAATTGGTACAACCATGCCACGTTTTTACTGAAAATAACTTCCTGTTGGACAGCTCCCCCACCCCCCACCCCATGTTCTGTGGCAATAGCAAACAACTAAGGGGTAATTTTTAGCAGAAAATTGATGTGGGCTGATTCCAACTAGGAACACATTCCAGATCGGGGCCCTGGGTTGCTTTGTCTCCAAAATAAAAGCGGCCAGGTTAAGCGTGTATTTTTAAATGTGACTAACACAACATGTGATTTGGTTGTCGTCCCCTCTCCCCCCGTCTCTGTGCCTCTGTAACTGAATATCTATATCTTGGACCTTTGTGGGAGGTGGGGAATGGAGCAGCTTACACTAATCTATTGGGGGGACTGTTGTCATTTAGAATCAAAGAATTGTAGAGTTGGAAGGGATCCAATGGGGAATCAGGTCCAACTCCTTGCAATGCAGAAATCCCAGCAAAAGGTGATGTTTTTACGTCTCACTGGACTTACTAGCCTAAGTGGGCAAGCTGAGCAAAGGAGAGGTGGGACAATAATACCACAAGGAATTTGGGTGATATTTAGAGGTCTTAGGATCAGGGGATGTGAGTAGGTGGTGGGCCTGATCTACAATCCTGCTGTGTTTGTGAACAGAGCAATGCACCAGCAGTAGTGCAGTGGCAAATCCTGAACTGCAGGAGCTCTTCCTGGCAACCCTTACAGCCACACCCCTATAGCTGTGCCCAGTGGATGTTGGCCCATTTGGGCAAATGGGGCCCTGCACCACCAACCTCAGATGGCCCTAACCAGCTCCCACCTGTCTGTCTTCTTTCTTACAACCAATCGAGGAGGATGGCTCTGTCTGTTGCTCCACCTACCATTGGTCTCCCTGCCCTCCACCCATCCAGTCCCAATGGGAACCAACCACCACTGGCTTCAAAGACTATGCAGCAAAAGTGAATTTTTCACCAGTGCTTGGAATTATGGCTACAACACCATGCCAGGCTTTTTCCCTCTCACCTCCTCTTACACTTTGCTTAACATCCAGTGTGATGAAGATTTCTGATGGACTCAGATGTTTGCTTGCTATTCTGTGACATTTTGCTTCAGCATCCTTTGGGGTTTTCAAAATAAATCAGGGAGTTTAAAAGCATGAGTTTCTCAAAGCATTCTCAAATCAGGGAGTTTCTCAAAGCATGAGAATCGGTCCCTTCGAACTCTACAATTCCATGATTCCATGAATGCCACCTACCTTGTTTCTTCTTAGTTTATTTTGGTCCACTTCTTTCTGATAAACATTAACTAGTTAGTCTGTTTCACATGCATAACACTTCTGTATGGGGACTTTATTTATTATGCTTCAAACTCAAAGGTGCAAAATTCCCTGCCTATACCATACAAGGAAATTTGGCATTCATAATATTTTTGTTTTCTTTTGTAGAAATTGTTTCTTACCTAACATATCTAATTCTATTATTGTTAATTAAATTTATTAGTCACAATTTTTTTTGCCATGGCAACTTAAAGTTACTTAAAGCATTTTAAAGCAGAAAACCAAACTCGTACATGCATTAAAACCAGCATAAAAATATTTATGTTCTGCTCTGTTTCTTTTTTATTAATAGATCAATAAATATGAAAAAAAGAAAGAGCAAGAGAGAAGGAGGGGGGCAGAGAGAGTGGGGGGCAGTTTTCCTGCCTGTTGTTGGCTTTAACCCTGCCCATCATTTGCATGAAACCTGCACTATGTAGACCCTCTTGTCTGGCCATACCAGGAACTGCCCAAGTCTGTTCACCAGCACTGTGCATTTCATTTCTGTTCTGTGCTACAAGAAACTCCCCACTGCACAGTTTGCATTAAATTTTTCTTGTCTATGCATCCTTTGTTTGATCACCTCTTTGTGATACATTTCATAACCCCTTGCAGATTGCCTCTGAAGAAATGCAACCTCCCACCCCAAACAGGAGAAAAGGTTCCCCACACCCTTTTACTGCATCAGCTGACCTTTTCTTGGAAAGGCTTTTGTTGTCGTTTTTAACTCTTATATCCCACCCTAAAGCTCTGGTGAATTAATACCGTAAGTATTGTGAAAACAACTAAAGCCTGGGTCACTGCAACCTGATGTTATCAGTGATCCACCATACCCTTTTCTTCTCTGCATCACTGAAATGGTTCTCCAGAATTCTTGCTTTTCATCTGCTGTGAACCTCAGAACCTGTCCCTCCATGAAGCAAGTTTAAATAACTCCCACAATGAGCATCCATCACAAGTTAATTAGATAACAGCAGCATCTACGTGGCTGCTATAATTTCCCATTGCATCAATCTCTGGCAGAGAATGAAAGGTCATTTTTGTAAGTTGATTTGCTCTTTTGGGCAATGATCACAGTTCCATTGTGAGACAGACAATTATATTAAAGTTATGAAACCAGGTGGTTCAAAGCAGCCTAGATTGCTCTCTCTTATAGCTGTCCAGTAAAGTGTGGGGGTTGGTTGGGTCCAGAGAGTGGCTAATGATTGATTTGTGTGAGGCGTTGGTGCCTACTGCCTTGAAATATGCAGTGGGGCAGCTTTTCCTAAACAAACCAACCCTGGACCCCTTGAGCTGGATTGGCTATTGAATAGTTACAAATACCCCCTTCTTGGGGGAGGTGGGCAGCTGCAAGCAGAGGTGGATTTAGGGCAGTGTGTCTGGTTTCACCGCAGTGGCCACAGACTCATAAGTCAATACATACTACTGCAAAATAAATTGTATAAATGACTGCCCAAATAATAAATTCAGTTGGCAATCCTATGCATCCTTGGGAATAAGACTTACTGAAGTCAATAGGACTTACTTCTGCGGAGACATGCATAGGATTTCACTGTCAGTAGCAGAAGCTCTCAATTTATTTATTTTTTAAGTAGAGTAAAACATGTGTGTATATCTACCATTTCATTGGGGGGGACCTCTTGCCCAGGCCTCCAGACCACTCTTCCCAGCCCACCCCCTTCATCAGCTTTGCTCTGCACCCTCCTTGAGCCCTTTGGCTGCTTGGAATGTGTCCTTGAACCGTGACAACGCCTCTTCCTTGCCTGGATAGAAGAGGAGAGAGGTAGGGGTATGTGGAGGGTGGTGCTGCCTGGTGTTTATTTTGACTGGCAGGGCAGAAGAAAAGGAGACTAAGAGTCAATGGTGCCAGAAGAAAGCAAGCAGGAGAACCCCACCCCACCCTCCCACTATATATAAGGATCTGTGACTTCTGTTTCAGTGTATCTGAAGAAGTGTGAATGCACACGAAAGCTTATACTCAGAACAAACTTAGTTGGTCTCTAAGGTGCTACTGGACAATTTTTTATTTATTTTGACTGTGTCAGACCAACACGGCTACTTACCTGAATGTTGTACCCAGCATTAAGGAACCTAATATAAGAAGAGGAACCTAATATAAGAAGAGTCCTGCTGGTTCAGGCCAATGGCCCATCTAGTCCAGCTTCCTGTTCTCAGTGTGGCCAACCAAATGCTGCAAACAGGAGATTCATAAGCAGGACCTGAGTGCAAGACTACTCCCCTCTTCTGTGGTTCTGAATGCTTCCGAATACAGAACATAGCAGTGAAGCTAGAGCATAGCCATCATGGCTAGTAGCCATTGATAGCCTTATCCTTCATGAATTTGTCTAATCCTCTTTTTTAAAGCCACCCAAGATTATGGCCATCACTGCTTCCTGTGGGAGTGAGATCTATAGTTCAACTATGCACTGCATGAACAAGTAGACAACTAGGGCCTACCCATGGGTTGGATGCACGTAAAAAGACAGGCAAGGAAGCAATTCAGAATTGGAAATCTACTATATATTTTCAAAGGTAGTTTGTCCGTTTGTCCTCTGTAGATTCAGACACATCTCGATATATCATTGCCAAACTCAGCATGGTAGTTCCCAAGGTGGGGGTGGAGGTTGGATGTCGGCTGCCATTTTGAATCAAGCTGGGAGACCTAAATGTGACCTTGACATAACTTCACCTGATTTTTGGTGTTACAGGTCCAAACTCCTACAAGTTAACTATCCATTTAAAAAACACAATACTTTTAGGGTTCTACAAATTTCCGGGAAGTGCTAGACACTCCCCATGAATAAACAAACAAACCAAACAGATCAAAACCCATGCTCTGAAGAAATTTGATGTTGTGAATGGTAATCTACCATTTTTTAATCAAGGCCTCATAGAAAGTTTGCTCTGTTTCACTTGTGAGAAGAAATAGTTTCTACCATTTCATGTATGTGTGAGACATTTCACCTTATAATATCCCACCTCCCACTTGTAATTTAAGGGAGGGCAGAGAAGCTGTCCCTGTTGGGCCACTACCCAATTCAATTTTGCACTTAATTTTTACAGCCACTTACCCTCCTAATCTCAGCCTTCATTCTGTCCAAGTCATAATTGCCCGCCAATCACTCTTTGTCTGTTTATACCTCCCTCCTGCCTTTTTTTTCTAGTTTTGCCCCTGCCCTCCTGTCACTTCCTTAAATTGAATTAGGCCTAATTAGATCATGCAGCAAGATGGATAGCATATCACTGTCATGGCTCCCTAAAGGCACACAAACAACCTCTTCCACTGCCACCTGACCCCCAGGTCCCTACAGGAGAGGATCTCAGCTTTTCTCTCAATACCTGGTGACAGGTGCTGCCTTTGGTAATGGCTTTACACAGATCCAATTGAGGGGATATCGGGTCAAAATGGGTTACACTGCTTAGCCATAGTGATTTTAAGGACTGCTTATAATACTGACACCACACTTTTCCTCTTTATGCTCATAAATTGGGTACCTGACAGAAAAAAACACCCAGATCCTTATTTCTCTGTGCTTTCTTGAAGATCTGCATACCAAATAAAGCTGAAAGTCATTTTATGCAAATGACTGTTGGGGAAACCCTGAAACTGAGAGAGTGGAACGAGGACCCTAAAATATTAAATTAAAATGACTACTCTCCCCACATGAATTAGAAATAATAACAATAATAACAAACCCTCAAAGTGATGGCTTTTATGAACATACAGAGATTCCTTATACTAAGTCAGTCCCTTGGTCCAACTAGCCCAGAACTGTCTGCACTGACTGGCAGCAGCTCTTCAGGGTTTCAGGCAGGAGCCCTTCCCAGCAGTACCTGGAAATGCCAGGAACTGAAATGAGGACTATCTACATAAAAAGCAAATGCATTTTCTGAAAAAATACAGCTGAACAAACCAATTATGAAAGAAGAAGTAAAAGAGGTGATAAATAAGATGAAGCTGGGTGAAGCCCCAGGCCCAGATGGGTTATCGGCCAAATATTACAAAACACTGGGGGATAAACTAATCCCGGTGCTATGTGATGTGATGAATAGAATTTTGCAAGGAGGGAACTTACCAGACACGTGGAAAGATGCACATATAACCTTGATTCCCAAGCCTGATACGGACAGCTTAAATATAAAAAATTACAGACCTATCTCATTGCTGAACAATGATTATAAAATTTTTGCGGGAATAATGGCAGACAGACTCAAAAATTGCTTAAAAGATGTCATACATAAAGACCAAGCTGGATTCCTCCCAAATAGACAGTTAAAGGACAATGTCAGACATATTATAAATATCATAAAATACCTAGAAGTTAAAAATGAAGTACCAGTGGCCTTACTGTTTATAGACCCTGAAAAAGCGTTCGATAACGTTTCATGGCAGTTTTTGTTAAAGTCTATGGAGGAAATGGGGATAGAGGGCAACTTCATAGAAGGTATAAAGGCGATCTACTCTAACCAAACAGCTAAATTAATTGTTAACAACAATGTGACAGACACATTTAGCATTATGAAAGGAACAAGACAAGGTTGCCCTCTCTCCCCTTTACTATTCATAATGGTTCTAGAGGTCATAGCGAATAAGGTGAGATACACGCCAGAGATACGGGGCATTAGAGTCGGAACAAAGGAATATAAGTTGAAAGCTTATGCAGATGACCTAGTGTTATCATTAGAAGAACCACAAATAAGCGTCGGTAAAGTGTTGGAACAATTAGATGAATTCGGTAAGGTATCAGGTATCAAACTAAATAAAACAAAGACTAAAATGTTGGTGAAAAATATAGATAGGAATACAAAAGAGAACATAGAACAGGAATGTGGAATTAAGGTCTCAAAAAAAGTCAGATACTTAGGTATATGGTTAACTTCAAAAAATATCAATCTAATTAGTGATAATTATACACCTATGTGGAAAGAGATTAAAAAAGATCTGGAAATATGGAATAGATTAAAACTTTCATGGTCTGGAGGGATGGCGGCAATCAAAATGAATATCCTCCCAAAAATGCTGTTCTTATTTCAAACCATTCCGGTGATTAGGGGATCCGTGATTTTTAAGGAATGGCAAAAAAGTCTTTCAAAATTTATATGGCAGGCAAAAAGGCCAAGAATTAAATTTCAAATATTAACAGACAGGAGGGAAAGAGGGGGCTTTGCTGTGCCAAACCTAAGATTATACTATGAGGCCTCCAGCCTATATTGGCTTAAAGAATGGATTACCCTAGAGAATTTAGATCTGTTAGACTTAGAAGGCTTTAACAATAGATATGGTTGGCATGCTTACCTGTGGCTCAATAAAGGAAAGGTCCATAAAGGATTCTCCAATCATATTTTCAGAGGAGCATTGCTTGAAATTTGGGGGGAAAATAAGAAACTTTTAGAAAAGAACACTCCTTGGTGGCTATCCCCGACAGACATTCTAACAATAAAAAAGGTAAATATGGAAGCAAAAAGGCTAACATATGAAGACATACTGGTTAAAACGGAAAAAGGTTGGAAGATTAAACCATATGATGAACTGAAAGACAGACTAACAGGCTGGTTGCAATACCATCAGATAAATGCACTTTGGAATGAGGATAAAAAATCAGAGATGAACGAGAAAAAATCAAGATACCAGACAGAGGTATTAGAAGGGAAAACCAAACTGTTAGCTAAGATGTATAATTTGTTGTTAGAATGGGACACAAAAGACGAAGAAGTAAAGGAGGTAATGTCAAAATGGGCCATGGACTTAGGACATAATATAGAGTACGAAAAATGGGAGAGGTTATGGAACAGAGGAATGAAATTCACAGGGTGTGTCACATTAAGGGAAAACCTAGAGAAAATGATGTATCGTTGGTATATCACACCGGTAAAATTTGATAAAATGTATAAAAGCGGAAACAAAATGTGTTGGAGATGTAAGCAGAAGGAGGGGGATTTTTACCACATGTGGTGGGCGTGTGACAAAATAAAAAAAAAAAGGGCGCTCATTTATAATGAATTAAAAAAAATTTTTAGGTACACCTTTTCAAAAAAAACCAGAGGCACTCCTCTTAGGAATAATTGGGGATGAAATCAAAAGAAAAGACCAAAACTTATTTCAGTATGCGACAACGGCAGCTAGGATATTAATAGCTCAAAAATGGAAATCAGTGGAAATTCCCACAATTACGGATTGGCAAACAAAATTATTCGAATGCGCAGAATTGGCAAGAATGACAAACAAAATCAGACACCAAAAAGAAACAAAGTTTAATGAAGAATGGAGTAAATTTGTGACCTATATTGAGAGTAATTGTGGTAAATTAAAAACTACAGCAGGCTTAACATAATCCTTGTTATGCGTAAATTTTTGACATAGAAACTGCAGGAGAAGAAAAAATGTAAGAAAACCGCAGCAGGAGGGGAGGGAGGTCACGATGCGTGTTAACGCAGTGTAAATAAGTGAATGACACTAAACACTGATAGATAAGAGTGTTCAATGTCTATTCTTATATGCCTTTTTTTCTTCTGTTCTATGTTTTCTGTTTTTTTGTGAAAATCTCCATAAAAAACTAAAAAAAAAAAGCAAATGCATTTTCACTGAGAAACAACCCTTCCCCTTCATGTTGGGCTGCTATTTGTGTATAACAACCCATGCCGCTAAAGTTCAGAATCACCTTGGTTCCAAATATGTTTCTGCTGATCTTGTAAGGCTCAGATGTATTACAAATTCCTCTGAGAAGTTCTTCTCTGGCTCAGAATATAAAAAATTCCACAGATGGACAATCAGTCATTAGGTTGATTTTGTACTATGCAGTGCAAACATTCTTTAATGTCAGATCCATACTCTGAAGAAACTCAGCATATTTATTCAGACATAAGTTCCTCCAAAGTACAGAGTGACTTGCTCTTCTTCAATAACTGGGTGTTTAAGACTGCATCCCAATTAAGACTCTGAATCACTGTGAAAGTACATAAACAGCAAAGCTTTTTAGAACTGTTATATAAAAAAAAGGTTATTCCTGCACTGATGTGTTTACGCCAAGACCATATAACACCGATCCTGAAAGACCTGCATTGTCTCCCAGCACATTTCTGAGCACTATTCAGTGTTGGTGCTGACCTTTAAAGCCCTAAATGGCCTCGGCCGAGTATACCTGAAGAAGTGTCTCCACGCCCACCATTCTGAAGCTGCACCCTGACTGGTTGTAAGGCAAAAGGCAGGCTGGTGGGAGCTAGCTGAGGCCAGGCTAAAGTTGATAGGTCAATGCCCACTTTATGACATGGTTGCTTCAAGATTGAATTACTGCAATATGCTATATGAGGAGCTTCCCTTGAGCTTGATCTGGAATTTGCAGTTAGTACAGAATGCTGCAGCACGGTTGCTGACTGAAGTGAGGCCTTGTCAACATGTAACACGTGCTCAGAGATCTGCACCGCTTGCCAGTTTGCTTCATGGCCAAATTTGAGGTGTTAGGAAATGTATTTTTGTGCATTCTGCACTAGGAGCATTTTACCTAAGAGATTGCCTTACCCCCATAACATGCCCACTCTGCTGTTTTGATCAGTGGAACCAGCACTGTTACAGGTGCCACATAATACTCTTTCTACATTTGTAAGAACTCAATCTTTTCATGTGGCAGCACCTACACTTCACTGTACACCTTTTGGTGTACAGCTTCACTGTACACCTTTTGGTGGCTGATAAAAGCATTTTTGTTTAGATAAGGCTACCCAGATGATCAGAAAGTTGGTGTGAACTTTAATCTATTTTAGGGTTTTTTTAAAAAAAAAATAACATTTTGGAAGTCTTAAATCGTTGTTGTTAATTATTCTTACTGATTGTTTTATCTTTTTTGTAAACAGTTTTCAGGTTTGCTTGTTTTTACAAGCAGTGTACAATTGTTAGGAAATGAATGAATGGATGGATGCCCCATTCGTCCTAATGGACCAGCCTCCCCTGCTCACTGGGCTACTTTGGGGGTTCCCCCTCCATATGTTTTTTTCTTCTCATTATGTTTTGTACTTCTGCAAAACCCCTCCAAGCCTGGTATTTCTTCTGTGTGTGGCTGATGCAGCTTTGACTCTGTAAGTACCAGCAGCCATGCCTGAACATCAGAAATAGCAGGAATAGCCAAGCTAAGCTTAGAAGGCTTTTTTTTTTTTAAGGGGTTGGAATGGAATTAAGCTTTTTTCTTTTAGTTGATTACAACACCCACTCCCAGATGATGTTCAGTAAGAATAAAACAACTGGGAAGCCAAGAGCATCTGCTAATCTGTGTTTTTTACCTGGAATCAGCCACTGCACACACATCTGGTGTCCTCTCAGCAGCATCAACTGCCTCAATAAATCCACTTGCGGCCAAAAGCAGAGGCTCATATCCTAAACCCTGTAAACAGAGAGTTGCTTAAACTCAGCAGTGCGATTGCAAGGTTCAGAAAAGGGAAATCAATATGATCAAGGGGGGTGGAGTGACTCACCTATGAAGAAAGGCTGCAGTATTGGGGACTTTAGGCGAGTAAGAGGTGACATGATATAGGTTTATAAAATTATGCATGGCATGGAGAAAGTGGACAGAGAAAAGTTTTCCTTCCTCTCTTGCAACCTTAGAACCTGTGGGCGTGCAAAGAGGCTGAACTTTGGAAGATTCAGCACAGAGGGAAGGAAGTCCTTTATGCATCACAGTTAAACTATGGCACCCACTCCCACAGGAGGCACTGATGGCCACCAACCTAAATGGCTTTAAGAGAGAATTAGATAAAATTCATGGAGAGCTATTGATGGCTATGCTCTGCCTGCAATGCTTCCACATACCAGTTGCGGGGAACCACAGGAGCGGAGAGTGCTTCTGTCCTGCTTGAGAGTTTTCCACAGACAACTGTTCAGCCACTGCGAGAACAGCTTGCTGGACTGTATGGACCACTGGCCTTATCCTGCAGGCTCTTCTTATGTTCTTATAATACAGGAGTGTATTCTGTATACTGTTGCAGTGGAGCTTAGTGCGGATGTCATAGCCCCCTCCCCCAGTTTGATTTTTTTTGGTGCATATGGCCAAAGACACACTTGGCTTAGTTCTAGCTTTCATGTTCAAATCAATAACGGTCAGCTCCTCCCTCCCTGCAAAGCACACACACACACTTCTAGGGTCTGATGCTACTCAAAATGGAAAACGCTGCACACAGCATTACAAAGGTACATACACATGTCAACTATTTACCCAGATTTTTTTAGAAATAAAATTTCTAGCCTGGTTGGCAGCATCACATTTGCTGTGTGCACCTGTGACATCCCAGTAACACCATTCATTTCAAATGGGGAGGGAGACTACTCAAGTAATGCATAGGGTTGTTGCTGGCCTTCCATGGTTCAGTGAGGTCTGAGAGCAAAAACCTGGTGACTTGTTCAAGACCAAGAGCCTATATACATTTTATAAGCCAGTTATTGCTTTCATGCATTCCAAGCAGTTTTTGTATACATTAGCTCACTAAACCCAGTTCTGTTTCTCTGTAGCACTGCAGTTGTAGCCCTGAACTGGTGCCTGAAATCTATAGTGAGCTGGAAGACCAATAAACTAACACTGAATCCTGGGAATGCAGAGGTGCTGATCATACTCTCCCTAAACGAGAAGATTCATAGTCTAGATCCCTAGAGGTCCAGGTGGCTTCAGTGGCTAGGAGTGCTTTTTACCAGCTTTGTTTAGTAAAATAGCTACAACCATTTCTGGACTGAGATAACATGACCACTGTTGTCCATGCTCTGGTAGCCACCAGGTGGGATAACCACAATGTGGTCTATGAGGGGCTGAGCCAGAAGATGAAACTACTGTAAGATATGGCAGTTCAACTGTTCATTGATGGTGGGAAAACCACCATCCTATGCTACTACTGCACTGACTGACATTCAGCTACTGGGTTACGTTCAAGGTGCTAGTTGAGGTGTGCAAAGCCCTGTACAGCTCAGGAAAAGAGTATCTGAAAGGTGGGCCTATTCTCTACATAACCCAACTGATTGCTGTGTTATGCAGGAGAGGGCTAGCTCAGTCAGTAGAGCACAAGATTGGTAATCTCAGTCGTGGGTTCAAGCCCCAAGTTGGGCAAAAAGATTCCTGCACTGCAGGGAGTCGGACTAGATGATTTTCGTGGTCCCCTCCAACTCTATGATTCTAAGAAGAGCATCCTGCAGGTACCATCTTCTCAAGAGGAGTGTTCCATACAGGAATCAGGCTCTATGGTGGCAACAACCCTTTGAAACTCCCTCCCTTTATACATCAGACAGACATGTGTTGTCCTTTCAACACCTGTTGAAGACATTCTTCTAAGTGATTTTTTAAAATCCCAGGTACTATCTTATTTGTATTGTGATTTGATGTGTTATTTCCATATGTTTGCTTTTATATATGCAAATGTTTGAGCTGATCTTATATGTGCAATTGTTCAGTGTATGTTTTTATTGCATTGCCAATATTTTTACCATGCCTCATGGCATGCACTAGCACTGAGGCTCTGCCTATTGGAGCAGTCCCAAAACCTCTGGAGGGCACCAGGTTAGTGAATGCTGATAGGAAGACGTATTGCAAACTGTTTTGTTCTCCTTTTTCTTCCTCTTTGGTTAAGATTATGACCATGGCATCAGCAAGGAAGGAGCTCCCGTAAAAAGAAATAAATCAAAGGACACTAATGAAATAGGATGGTCTCTTTAAAAACCCTCAGATTTATTTATTAGACTTCAGCAAGGAGGGCATACATTGCAAAACAAAGAAAAACACATTAAAAACTTGAAGATAAAATGAAAATAAAATAAACCAATATTAATGAAACTTCAGCAAAAACATAAACCAGCTGACACAGCAATGGAGGATAATGGAGTGACAGTTTGTTTAAATCAAACCGCATAAATGAGTATCTGGCAGTGTTTAAATGAGAGGCTGAAAACCTGAAACCACTTACTTGTGAGAAATCCTACAGCCTTCAGTAGGAATGGTTTCAAAGTTCTAGGGTAAGAAGTAAAACTGGGCCTATGCATCCTAGGTCACCAATTAACTCAGGACGTGGGGAATCTTGAATCTCCATATATTATTAGACTTTAGTTCTCACCATCCCTGTCCATTGGCCATGCTGGCTGGGCTGATGTGGATTGGGAGTCCAACAACACCTGGAGGGGCACAGGATTCCACCACTGCTCTATATAGTCTCCCCCCCCCCCCGATCCAGCTATGTGGGGATCCTACTGAAAGCAGCAGAGTGGACATCTGGATTTGCCTTACGGCCACATTCCCTAATTTGGAGATCCATGTGTGCATCTTCTTCTCTGGATTAGGGTACATAAAATCACTTCCCTCTCAAGCCTTTACATGTAAACCCTGTACCAAAACAGCAACATTAGCCATTGACCAAAACCAGCCCCAATAATACAGTACTACAATGGAATGTTTAAGCCTATCAAGGCTTAGGAGGAACACTTAGTATACAATTCTAGTGCTTCAGTAATTTAAAGCATCTTACAGACATTATGTCACTAATTCCCATAACATGAGTGCAAAGCCCACACGCCTGTATCCAGCCCATGAAGCTACTTCCAGTGGCTCACCAGCCCTTTGCAAAAACTAGGGGCCTAGCCTCTCCCTTTGGACCTCCATTTACCTAGCAAATGGGGCTTATCCTCTTCTGGCACAGCAATATTGTTAGGTCTTAGGACTTTAGGAAACAGGCAAAAGAGCAGATCTAACAAAGTTAAGTCAATGTTTTTCATCCCCATGACAGCTCTGGGGTGGGAGGTTTCTCCTCCTAGCCCAGTGTTGCAGCAAGGATGAAAACCACTCTCTGTTCTTCACAATGAGTGTGAGCAACTCTGTAAAGTAGATCAGCGTTCTTATCCACTCATCACAGATTAAGAGCCAGCCAAGAGTGAATAACTGAAGGTAGTCACCTACAGAGGTGGCAGCAGGGGTGAGCTTTGAGCCATTTTTAGCAAACCAGTATGGCAGACCAGCTCTTATAACTTATTTTGGAAAATGAGCACCAAGTGAACTATCAAATTATTCCCCCCCCCCCAAAAAATAGGGAGATTATCTTCACAGCTTTGCAAAGCAGATACCAACTCCCTTTTGGTGGTAGAAAGGGGGGGGGCCTCTTACAATTATTTTCAATTCCTGCCATTCTCAGTTATGAATGTGTGCCTTCTCTCTCACTTTAGGTAACCTGAAGCAGGAAAACTGAAACTGGTAAGAGACCCCTCAAAAACACTGGGAGAAGCAACGCCCCACACTGAGGGTCCTGTAGGAAAACACGCAATGACGAGACATACACTTAGGAAATGCTCTGCAAAACAGTCATGCATCAGTCTCCAGGCATGACCCTGAAAGTATTAATAGGTACACAAGGATACGGACAGGAAAGACCAAGTGGTTGGAACCCCATATGTTACTGCACCCATCTTCAGTCAGTGCAGGAGTATCCAAGCATTGTGAAAGGTGAAGACTGATGTTACAGCTGGGTTCTTCATGGTGTAACCCAGCTTTGCAGCTAAGAGGTAGTTTCATTAGCCAGTCAGCCAGTCCTCAATCTCTTTCTTCCATTTGTGCAACAGATAGGGTTGGGCTTGTGTTTTTTTAAGGGGGGAATATATAGAGAATTATATTCCTCACTTGCAAAAAAGCAGAGATGCATTACTGGTTGCACAGGCATAACAAAAACCATATTGGCCCTGGAGATAAAACCACCTCAGCTGTAAAACAATCAGTGTCAGCCTGTCCCCAGTTATGCCTGAGAAGCTGCAGGACAGGTTTATCAAAACCCAGTGGCAGGAAATACACTGTCATCCTTCGAATGCCGCATCACTTTTTGCCCTGCATTGCATACTTTCATGGCTGGGGTAGGCAGAAGGTGGATCTGCATCTGCTGGGAGATCTCAAGGATTTCTGACTCCCAACTGGTTAAGAATAGCAGCAACACAACAACTCTACTCCCTGCCTTAAATGGTACTGCAGAAATGTTAGAAAGCTTGGGGGTAGCCAGGAGTGCATTTCTGTATGGAAGGACTGGGAGCTCCACTTGGTTTTGCACTACAAAGCAAAATTCCCGGGTTCAGTGGCACCTGACTTCAGCTGCTGGTCCTCAGTGAAAAGCAAAAGTATACCCCACAAGCCTGAAGGTGGTGCAATAAAGACAGATAATGGCAGGAACTGACACTGAGATGTGAACAGTGCTCTTCAACTGATACAAGGCCATATGAGGACTTTGCAGTGATCTCCTTCCAAAGAAAAGTAGAACTATTGGAATGCATTTGATTTTTACTTATTAGAATCAGTCCTCTTATCTTTGAGGGAGGAAGAATACTCAGATGTTTTAAGTTTCATCCAAATTTCCCCCATAACAAAGCATGATGTCAATCCACATTCTTGCCAATGAATGCGGAATGAAAGGCTATAGCTAACTCAAGGAGGCATAGTTTACTAAAAAGGACCAGCCAGACAAAAATGGAAAAGGAACTTGGCTACCTTATTCAACAGAGAAAACATTTCATGGCATTTAGCATTTCCCTTTTTTCTGTTAATGTAAATCTAGGGGAGAACCATCCTAACTGTGGATCAAGTTTTCACCAAAAGGAAGGGGAGGGGGGAATATGCAAGTTTATTAGCTTTAAGTAGCAACCAAGATGACCTGCAAGAAAAAAATGGGACACCCTTTACAGATCAAAAGCAGAAATAAAGACACACAGAGAGAGAGAACACCACAAAACAGTATTCGACAAGGGTTACAAAAAGTTATTAAATGCATATTAGAGCCCAGAAAAGCAAGGGGTATGTGTGAATGAAAAAGGTAGGGGGACTTAAAATCTTCCAAGATAGCTGTCACGTTTATAGTCCAGCAATGACCTCTGAACAGCATGCTGCGCCCTCGCCACTGTTTTGCACATGTATAAGCAGTAGCCAATGCTTTCCCCCCTTTCAAAACTGCAAATTGCACCTTTCTTTTAAAAATAGACAGTAAAAAGAACAGCCCATAAAAATTTTCCATGAATGTATACAACAACAATGAAACCTATAGAAAAATAGATAAATCTCGGATGTGCAGTGTAGGCACAGCACCTGGTAATCTGACCTGCATTATATATGTAGCATTAGGGGGGAGGGAGAAACATGTATGCCACAGTAAGCTCTATGGAGGAAAGAAGGGACATACATGGAATAGAATAAAATAAATGAATCCTAAGGCAGCCAATTCCGTAAGTTGCATTATGCATGCAATGAAGAAACTCTTGTCTTCTGAATCTACCACTAATCAATGTTGTTGTTGTTTTTTATGATCCCTTCTGGTGTTACAAAGGAGGGAGAAACACCTGTACAATTTAAGCAGCCCATCATTCTGTGCCTTACAGTACAATCCTAATCATGTTCCATTAGAAGTAACCCCTATTGAATTCAGTAGGGCTTACTCTCAGGCAAGGTTTTTCTTCTTCTTCGATTACAGTATTTAGTCACTTCTTTCTTCCTTTAAAAAAAGGCCACATTTTAATTTTGTCCTATAAGGAAGGTCCTCCACCTTCCAGTTGCTTTTGGTTGCCCTTTCTTCTTTTTGAGATTCACTGACCATAACCATACACTGCATTGTATGCATGGCCACACCATAGATTTGTATAAGGGCATTATACTACTGTAGCTTTTATTTTTCAATCCTTTCCTAATAATCCCTAGCAAGGAGTTTCCCTTTTCCCCCAGCTGCCTCATACTGGCTTGATGTTTTCATTGATCTATATATTCATCATGCACCCTAAATGTCTTTCCTGATTAACTGTTCTTAATCCCCTCAGCATGTGTAGAACGTTAAGATTTATTTGCTCCAGCATACATCACTTTACACCCACACTGAATCTTAACTTTCTGTTTTGTTGCTCTTTCACCCCATTTGCAAAGCAACCCTTTCAGGGTTCATTTGGATGTTCACAACACTAAAATAACAAGGTATGATCTGCAAACTCACTGCTCACTCCCTAACTCCAGGTCGCTTCTGACCAAGTTAAAAAAAGGAACTGGTCTCGGTACAGGTTGTGGGGAGATTCCACATCTTCCTTCCCTCCACTGTAAAAACTGTCCACTTATTCTTAATCTGGAGGGAGGTAAGAACTGGACCATCTGCCGCCTGCTGATTGTTGGGACTTTCGCAAATGTGCTGGACTTAGCTGGAGCTCAATATGATCCCAGCAAATGACTTCTTAAATTCTTAAGCAAGAGTGCATCCACAGGATCACTTAGCACAGCTTAGTTATGCCTTATCTGGCAAGACATCCTGAAGTCCTGTAGTTTTAAACACATGCTAATGGACTGTGAAGCAAACCCACCCCTAACCAACCCTAGATCACACTAGACTAGAAGTCAGCATGGCTTGGAGCAGGTATCTTCAACCTTTTTAGACCCACTTTTAACCTGAATATGCATTTCGGGACCAGTTTCTTAATTTTTCATCATATGTTTGCATGGTGGTAGTTCTCCTGTTGCAACCCACGTTGGAGCAGGACACAATGCACTAGTGGGTCCCGACCCACCAGCTGAATATCAGCGGTTGAGAGCATGTGAATTCATGTTGCCTATTCCTCTAGTGATAGTACCAACGCTATCTCCACTTAACACTAACCAACCAATTGTTGCCCCATTGCAACAGGAATCCCAGCTTGAATCCCAGTATTCCTTGGCTTAAACCCAATGCCATCCAAAGGAAACCAAAGATACTTCCATTCTTAATGGAACTGCACAAGATTGCAAAACCTGAAAAGAAGCCTCTCCAAAGCAGTCCCACATCACCCAACAATTCCTACTAGAATCACACATGAAGATTCTGGACCTCTTGTTATAAAAACATTATGCTTCATGGGGAGAAAAAGAATCAGCCTCAAATAAGCATCAGCAGATATTGTAGGCAAACAGTGCAGAACTCTGAAAACAATCAGTCTTTGCTCATCAAGCAACAGTTCCAATGACTGGAGAGAAAAAGAGCTTTTTACCATGCATGGTGGATTGCCTCTTCAACAATTGGGGAAACAGTTCTATTAAAAATTAAAAGTCAAAGCTATGTATTTGTACACATTGCTCTCTTTTGGATGCATTTCACCTCTTTGGATTGCAGCCAAATATTCAAGCTTTGATTGTACAGACTTTCATCTACTCATTGGACTACTGAATGTCTTCCTTGGCAAAGCTATTCTTAGTCTTAGGAAGACAACAGTATTGGTGAAGGGGCTACAGTGGGCAATGTTCTGGGTTATAGCCATAGACACAAATCAACATGGACTTTTATTTCTTTCCTAAGAGCCATCTGACACATTACTGAGGGGTGCAAGATGAGCTGGCATAATTCTAAGTTGGACTGCTTTAGACTGTCTGGGGGAGGTCCAATTTCTGAATGTTCCCCAACTTAAAATCTTCATGGTGAACTAGCCATGAAAAAAGGCCATGCTAAACATTTCCCCTCAAAACTAATTTTTGATGTGCAGTGAGGGTTCCACCCCCTCCCTTTAGTGTGGGGAAAGTGTCTAAAACATGACCCATATCCAAGATCCTACCACATTCTGCATAAATAATTCTAAAATACAATTAGCTTCACTACTGAAGTCAACCTTCCCTACCTTCTAGGTTAAGGTTACCAGATTTTTTCCAATGAGTCCGGGGACACTTTTCAACTTCAATGGATTTTGTATGGGGACTGATTTGTAAATTTGGGGACGTCTGGTAACCTTATTCTAGGTCAGGGGTGGGGAGCCTATGGCTCTCCAGAGATGTTGCTGGACTCCCATCTGCCCCAGCCAGTTTGGTGAATGGTTAGGGATGATGGAGACAGTAGTCCAACAATATCTGGAGGGCCACAGGTTTGCCACCCTGTTCTACATCTTTCAAGTCAGGAAGATGCCTTACCCTGAGTCAGACGATGGTCCATCTAGCTTAGCATTCTCTACACTGACAAGCAGTGGCTCTGCAGTTTCAGGCAAGCATCTTTCCCAGCCCTAAGTGAAGATATGGGAACGGAACCCAAGACCTTCTGAATGCAAAGCAAGTAATTCTACCACTGGCCAAGAATCCAAAAAACAAGACCACAGGAAGAGAGAAAGAGGAGCAAGCAGCCAGCTTTTCATGCTTCTGCAACCCCATTGTCCTGCTGTCATTTCTGTGTGCCAAATCATTGTTTTTAGCCACAGACCAAATCAGATAAGATGGTAATTTTAAAAAGAGACAGAGGAAAGGTTATATAGTACGAAGATTGAAAAATCCTTTACAAACAGGTCAAATTACCAAGGCAGAGTCAAACTGTTGTACACACTTGTATAAAAATGTTTTTCTTTACTTTTTTAAATTTCCCCCATTAAATATGTAAAAACCAAAATGCTTATACACACACACAATCTGTAGAAGAACATTCTTATTAACACAGAGTTGTTGGTTGTTGTTGTTTTTTTTTTTTTACACAAATACATTATCAACAAGAGTTACACCATTTGACAACAAACTTCACAAGATGTCTTTGGTGATGTATTCAAAAGGAAAATGGGGGGTGGGGGGACCTGCCATGCCACCAACCTAACCCAAAACACATTGAAGACTTGGCCAAGACAGGCCACAGTGAAAACCTGTGTGCGACACAGTGTGATCATTAATAGTTCTAGTTTGTGAGCAGTAGCAATTCAGAAAAGAGGCAAAATGAGACCGGCCTGGCAGCTGCTTGACAAGGCTCCTTCACTGGCAGTCCCACACAGATACCAAAACATGGAGGCTTATTAGGCCCCCGGTGAGTTACCTTGCATGGCCAATTGGTTGTGTTTGGGTCAATGGGGCCATTAATCAGGCAGACATCAAGCCTAAAAGATCTATGCAATCTAACATGGGTGGATTTGCGAATCTGGACATTTGGTTCCCAGTGTCCCTGTCTTGCTCAGATACTTATCTTTTAAGCAAATGTTTACATTCCATCCCACAGGAGGGATTCATTGTCAAATCAAGAGCTTGAGGAGATAGACCTCATCCACAACTGCCCTCCAGCTTGTTTCCTAAGTCCCCTGAACACTTGAAAGCTAAAGCTTCAGAGGAGCAGGGGTGTGGGTGCAAGCCCCACCCTCAATCTGCCCCATGTGTACTGAGAACAAAGGTCTGACACCAGTTCTGTGAACATTCAACTGACTGCGCTTTCTACTGAAAGCAAAGGAGGATTTGGGTTTGATGTTAATTCAGTTGCTTAGTGAAGGCAGGAGTGATGAGCAGGCTGCAAGCTAGTCTACACATTACACAGAATCACAAGACAAGAAGTTCCGGCCAGGTGTCACTCCAGGCAAAGAAAGCAGGACAGAACTGATTTGCTAGCATGCAGCTCAACTTGCTGGCATGCATGCACTCCCAGCAAGAGAGCGTGAACTCTCTGCCTTGTCAGAGCACCTCTGTACTAGCATTTGGAACAGGGTGGGCTATCAGTTGCCTAGGTTCTCTCATGTGAGGAAGCATCCTTCATAGTGGGTGATGTATGTGGAAAAGGTTGGCATGTAGTTCTCAACTGAGGGGGGAAATCTTGGCTAGCTCAGAACTCCACACACACCCTTTTGCCATGTGCTTAGCCCCTGAACTTCAGGGGATGTTTAGCCACATGAGATAACAGAAAGGTAAAAACCTGGCAACCCATCTCACATGGCTAATCCTCCTTTGAAGGTGGGCAAATGCTGAACAGGCAGGAGATTTGTTGTGCCATGAAGTACTATAGGCAGAGACAGATCTGGCCTTTGGGTAAGTACATCAACACTCTCCCAGCTGAGCCCTGCTGGAATGAACAGAAAGTGCCCCACAAAGGAACAGGAAGAGCCCAGTGCAAGAAAACTTCTCGATGCTATCTTAATTAGTTTAAGGTATACATAAACCATTTGGATTTTCCACCTCAGGTTCCTCACTCTCTTTGGCCTGCTCTGAGCTACAGCAGATAATAAGATTAATCTTTCATAAGAGCTGGTCAGAGGTGTGGGTTTTTTATATAAAAAAAATTACGAGTCTTACTACATAGTATTTACACACGTACTGCTAAAAAAAGAAAACAAGAGTGAAGGGAAGATAGAATATAAGAAACTGCTTCATACCAAATCAGAACATTTTGCCAATCTAGCTCAGTGCTGTCTACACTGACTGGCAGCATTTGTCCAAGGTTTCAGGCAGAAAACCCTTCCAGCCCTACCTGCAGGTGCCACTGAGGAATGAACCTGGGATCTTTTGAATGCAAAGCAATGAGGTAGGGCCCTTCCTCTGAAGTTGCCCTTGTGCTGACAGCAGCTTCAAGGGACTTGGCTTTAATGTAGGATTTTCCTCTTGCTGGTCTTCTTCTCTGATTTATTAGCTAACAAATACTGGCAGGTATGGGCACTCCTTGAGCAAAGCAGCAAGTTGTGCACCACCTCTTTTGAAATGATTTCTCCTAAAAGCTACCATACCAGATATGACTCTTCCAGAGCAAATTAACAAGAGGGCAAGGCCAGCCTTAGCAGCAGAACATTTACTCTGCATGTACAGCAAGGGAGGGGAACCTGTGGCTCTCCAGGTGTTCCTGGACCAGAAGACAAATCACAGCTCCCATGCTGGTTGGGGCTGATGGGAATCCAGCAACATCCAGAGAGCCAGATTCCCCAGCTCCAATGTAGGACACCCCAGTCTTTGGTTCTTGCATCTCCTCCCCCTGCAACCAAAAAAGGCCCCTTGCATAGTGGGCTTTGAAGACCCCCCCCCCAATGTGAATCCCTGGACAGCTTCTGCTAGTCAAGAGTTGACCAGATTCGGCTAGACAGATCAGTGCTAGTTTCATGCATTTCTGGGGACCCTTCTCTACTGCCAGCCTTACCTTTCAGAAAGATCACTTCTGGGTGGAAGGCCATGGCAGGTTTCTCACAAGGCAAGTTGATGGGGGGGGGGGTGTCTGTTTCCTTCAAGCCCTGCTTGCCGCCTTCCTGGAAGCATTTAATGGGCCACAGTTAGAAAAACTAAGCTGAACTAGATAGGCCTGATCCAACAGGGGCTCTTCTTATGTCCACCTCAAGCAGTAGATGTTGCAAGCAGTAGATGTTGGATCATAAGGGGTAGCTGAGAAAGAGGTGAACAGAATTGATTCCTGGGGGTCAATCCACCAAGAAGCCCTCCTGTACAGCTCCACCAACAGTTCCAACATGCTTTCACAAGGTCCCTTCAAGTGGAGTTTTGATGGAGACCTTTCTGGCTGATTAAACAGTAGCATCTGTTTGCATGTGTGGAAAGATTTGGATTTTCCAATCAACTTCTTGGGCCAGCCCTGCATGGAAGAGAGGAAACAGATTTTCCAATGAAGGCTACATTTGGCCTTGCAACATAACATCTATAAGCAGAAGTCCATCATATAGCTCCCTCCAGACCATAGCTGTCAACGTTTCCTTTTTTTTTTAAGGGAAATTCCCTTATTTCGAATAGGATTCCTCGCAAGAAAAGGGAAAAGTTGACAGCTATTCTCCAGACAGCCAACCCCCATTAGCCCTAGCATGGCCAATGGTCAGGGGTGCTGGGAGCTGTAGCCCAGCCACACCTGGGGAGCCACAGGTTCCCCATCCTTGATATAGTTTATTTACAAACAACAGAACGCCAGCCTTGCATTACACAAGCCAGTTAAACCACAGTATGGTGAATACGCTTGCCCAGATTTGCATTAGAACCCAAGTATTCAAGAGTAAATTATTTTTTGGGGGGGGAGGCTCTGTTCTGGGGGCACACAGGAGAATTCATTTCATTGGACATCCCACTGAGTGAGATTTAGTCATAAGGAAATAATGGGATTCAAATCTTTAAAAAGGGATACAGTTTGAAACAGAGTTTGCTGCTTTTAGCTTAAAGCACACACACACACACACACATACACACACCGTATCTCCTTGAAGTCTGCAGTTCTGCAGTCACTTGGGTGCCACTCCACTCTGACACCATCCATAAAATACGCCAAATTTTTAAATGTCTTCCTAGTACTTCTTTTCCCCTGGCCAAACTTTGCCTCATTATAACCACATGCCCAATGCTTTGCCACTCTCACCCACCCACCCCTGGCAGGCAACACACTTTGCAGGTCTTATTTCATCTTCAAAATGCCACCTGATACAGATGGCTCTGCATGCACAACTGCTTACAAGTAGCCCCCCCCCCCTTTGGAAAAGGGTGGCACTTACTTCTGAGTAGATCTGCACAGGACTGCACTGCAAGGCTGCAACCCAATGCACCCCTAGCTGGGAGCAAGCCCCACTGAACTCAGGGGGGCTTGCTTCCGGGGAAGGAATGCACAGTAGGATTGTGCTGTCAAAAACACAGAACGTTTATTAAATAGTTGTTGTTTTTTACCACCAGCAAACCATCCCATTTCTTAAAGTTGTTACAACCACTTGTTTTTTGTTAAAAAGCACCCAGTTAGTCAGTTTTAAGAAATTGTTTTTTCTGCTTTTAACTAAAGGGCAAGCTGGACATTCCAGAGCTCTCTTACATCATATCTGAATATCTCCAAGCCAAGGTGTTGGCACCTTTCCCCTGTATTGTGTTCAGGATTAACAGTGGTTCACACTATGGATGTGCAATTCAGCAGCAACCCAACAAGAAGCACCATCAAGCAGTGATGAGTGATAACAGAAGTCCTATCCGGCACACTCTGCCTTACCCACCACTAATAAAAGAATTGGTTACCACCACCACCCAATTTCAAATCAAAGTTAACCATCTGTAATGTTCCAAGTCTCCCTGCAGGCCCTAGGGAACCAAACCCACCCTAATCCTCCTTTAACCCTCTCCTGCAAGCTATTTGGCTACTGTTACATTCATCGCGGTGTTCCAACAGCTGGCAGCACAAGCAGCCACCTCCAACGTGGGGGCTTTCCCTTTCTGCAGATCAGAGAGTCGGCGCTCCCACGACGCTCAGCCTTGCCATCAGAAGGTCTCAGCACTGCTTGCTGTGAAGCTGGGACATTCCTTGCGTCACACCTGCAGGTTTGCACATTGCTGGCTTGTCGGGGGAATGGGTGAAGCTGGGGTCCGGGGGCAGGTCAGCCCCCTTCTCGCCCAAAGGAAGGACCCAAGCAAGTTTTTTACCTGCGCTGTCCCCACCAGGCCTTTGGGAGGCACACACCTCCTGGGGCACAGCAGGAGTCTGCAGAGGCAAATTGGATGGCCTGGCCATTGGTCTGGTTGCCATCAGTGCTGGATCACTGGCCCCATCTGCGCAAGGTTTCCCACCAGGCTTCTTGGTGGATTCCTGCACCAGGGGCATGCAAGGTGCTTCCATACCTGGCTGTTCCGATGCACCCCACGTGCTCTGGAAGGCTGGGGTGCTCAGATCACAGTCCCACGGTTTCACGCCTTGCGAGGGAAAATCCTCCCTGCATGATACATTCTGCTGCAGCTCTGCCCAAGGAAAGACAGCAGCATCACTTCCTTCCTTTCCTTCTGGAGAGCCCAGAGCATTTTCACGGTCTGCATCTAGACCAGGAGACACAGGATCCTTCCTGCAGCCACTCCATCGAGACCAGAGGTCAAAAGGCTTGAAGCCACCCTTGGAGAGTTGCAAGCTAGCCAGCTCGAACTCCAAGCTCTCAGTGTCAAGGGACCTGCTCCTCCTGCAGCTGGAGAGAGGCTCTGGCATGGGAGGACTCATCTCCTGAAGCCTCATGCGCCGGGGAAGGCTGGTGACACCCCAGTTGCAGCTTTGGAAAGAGCTCTGGAAGCACCCAGGAAACATTCTCTCGTCACATTCGGCGAAGGATTCTTTTGCAGCGTAGCTATCGTCAAAGGCCTCAAAGGATGCAGCAATGTCCTCATCAGTGTTCATCCCCAGGTGCTGCTCACACTCCCCTTCGCCTTCTTGCTCCACGTCGACAATGTCAAACGTGACCATCGTTGGGAGGGCAGGGAGGTTCTGGGTGAACGCAGAGCCTGAATCAGAGCTCCCAAGGCTTTCAGAGAGGCTGGAGAATAGAGTCCCGCTGCTGGTGAACTCCACCAATGCCTGGGAGAAGTTAACGGCCTGTTCTGGTTCATTTTCCATGTTGGGGGGCTCCCCAAAGTCAGCTTCAGTTCTGCTTGGCTGCTCATTGAGTGGACAGCTGTGCGTTTTGAAGAAAGGGAATGCCACAGAATTCTCCAGGCCACTTAAAGCACCCGGTTCAAGCCCTGGATGCTCTCTATCTGAATCCAACACTGAGCCATTTTCCACGTGCTGAAAAAGGCCCCCACTGTGCACTTTAGGGCCCCCACTGCCATTGTAGTGCTTCTCTGGGCACAGCATCTCCTTGAAATCTTTCCACTCTTGCTTCTCAGTTAGAATTCCAGCATCCAGGCCACTGTTCAAAGCAGGGGGGGACATTTGATCGCAGCCAAGGCCACTCGGACTCTTGTCGGTTAAGCTGGTCACTTTTGTGTTACATTCCGTATGTAGCTTTTCTCTGGGGTGGTGCTGGTCTTTGCTGAGGATATCCAGGTCTTTCAAGGTTGGCTCCCTCTGCATCTCCCAAAACAGCAGCTGCTTCTGAATGGCAGCCAGCCTCTCCTCCTCCGTTTCCATCACTTCCCTCTTCTGGCCCATTATCTGCACCAAATCCTTCTCGTCAGGGAGAGCAAAGTCCAAGAACTGGCTCATGGAAAAGATCTCTGGTGGGGACACTTTGCTACCAAACCAAGATTCATCAGCACGAGTGGGGCTCATGAGGGCATCATCAGGTTCATAGAACTCATACAGCGCATCGCCACTGTAGCTGTCCCTCGGGAGGCGGTCCTTCTTGATTTCTTCAAGCCCATCGCCAGTTTCATCATCAGGACCTGGAGTGGTAGAGTCATAGTACCCCTCATCGCTGTTGGGAGCAGATTCTTGCTGGTCACTGTGTGGTGTTAAGAGGTCCACATCACCCCTTGTGCCTTCAGGATAGAGGTGGACCTCTGGCTTGCCACCGTTCACTCCCTGATGCTCACATTTTGCCATGAGTTCTGGAAGGCATGTTTCGTATCCAGCATCTGCTTTGACGGCACCTTCCCACATCTGCTGCAAATACTCCTCTATGTCATCTGGCATGGCCATCTCCTCCCCTCCACCCTGGTAAGTAACAAGGCAGGAGCTCCTCTTGGCCGCATCCCTGCCGCGCTCTGCAGTGGTGGCACTCTCAGCGATGCTGTCGATATCTGGTTCAGCAATGATGTCTCCGCAGCCGGTAAAGGAGTCGAAGCTTTTGAGGGAAGTGACATCTCCAAACATCAAGCTGAGCTGGTCCCCAGATGGGACACAGGGAGGGCTGCTGTCTAGGTCCTCAGACTGGAGAGCATCAGGGAGCTCTCCGCACACAGAGTTAGCACAGAGGGTGTCATCAGCTTCCAGCTCTGCATCTCGAGAGCTTTCGCTGCCTATCCCTCCTCTGGCTGTATCCCCTACAGAGCTGCTTTCGTTGGCCACCGGCTGGACCTCCTCTCTTGACTCATCGAGACCAGCCGCTACTCCAGGTGAAGAAGAAGCATCTTCATGAAAATGCTCCCCATGTTCTGGGGGAAGTGCAGTGCTTTTTAGGCTCCCCTGCTTCAAGACTTGCTGGGTTTCGGCACCCCTCTTCTGCTTACTCGCACTGGGCAGTCCTTCAGCCACAGCATCCCTTGAAGTCCACTCCTGCAACTCAGTCCTCTCAGGCTCAGTGCTTTTGCTCTTCCTGTGGCGCCGGATGCTGTTGAAGAGGCCCCTGAGCCCCTTCTTAGAGCGTGGAAGGAACAAGGACTTCTCCCCACAGGGCTTCTTCTCAAAGCCCTCAGAGCTTCCAGACAGGGATGCTGACGGCCGGACAAAACCAACCCTGAGGCTGGCATCTGCTCCCAGGAGAGCGCTCTGAGAACTTGGCAGCTGTGCAGGAAGGAAGTCCGTTCCGCCACCCGAGTTGCCCTCTTCGTACCCCACGTCGCTGATGCCATCGTGTGTCTTACTCTTGCTCAGGCCCTTCTTTGCAGCTCCCTTTCCCTGGCCTTTGTTTTTCCCACCAAAGAAACTGGGCAGGGTGCAGATGCTTCGCTTCCCACCAAAGAGCTTGAAGGCAGTCTTCCTGAGCTTCCCAGCAGGCGGCGGCTGGCGGCTGGGCTCCACCGTGGCAAAGGAGGCATCGCTGTGCTCAGAGAGCTGGTCAGCTGCCCCATTCTCTTCCTGCAGCCGCTGATGGTGATGGCCTTCCTCTACCAGTGGAGATTTGGCTCCAGGTTTGTTTCCAGTGCAGGCAGCTTCCGTGGCGGCCATTCTGGCATGCGGGTTTAGCTGGAAGGGTAGTCTCTTGCGGCTGCATCTTCCTCAACATGCTCTGGGTGAAGCATCCTGGCTGATCTGAAAGAAAAAGGAAAGAAGGGGAGGGGGACAACAGGAAATGCATCAGGAGAGGATACTGGTGCTGAGCATTATTTCATCCAAGTGCATTGTAACCAAGCAAAGCCTGGGCCACAATAGCTGCCCTGTTTGGGGCTCCCATACCTCTAAATATGGGAGGGATGTAAGAAATGGGAGGAAAGCTGCCTCTGTTACATTTCTCCCAGCTGTTCAAAAAAAGCAGAAGAGCCTACATTAGGTAAATAGCTGGCAGCCTTAGGTAGGAGCGGCCGCCGAGACCATATAACACCGGTCTTGAAAGACCTACATTGGCTCCCAGTACGTTTCCGAGCACAATTCAAAGTGTTGGTGCTGACCTTTAAAGCCCTAAACGGCCTCGGTCCAGTATACCTGAAGGAGCGTCTCCACCCCCATCGTTCTACCCAGACACTGAGGTCCAGCACCGAGGGCCTTCTGGCGGTTCCCTCACTGCGAGAAGCCAAGTTACAGGGAACCAGGCAGAGGGCCTTCTCGGTAGTGGCGCCCCCCTGTGGAACGCCCTCCCACCAGATGTCAAAGAGAACAACAACTACCAGACTTTTAGAAGACATCTGAAGGCAGCCCTGTTTAGGGAAGCTTTTAATGTTTGATGTATTACAGTATTTTAATATTTTTTTGGAAGCCGCCCAGAGTGGCTGGGGAAGCCCAGCCAGATGGGTGGGGTATAAATAATAAATTATTATTATTATTATTATTATTATTGGAGAAATTGACAAATACACAAATGGACATTACATTTAATGTAACCCAATGTAAGCCTTATTGCACATGTGTCCACTCAACCACTTCCATGGGTGGAATTGGCACTGCAACAGGTGCCACATAATACCTGTTCTATATTTGTAAGAACTTGGTCATTTAGTGTGGCAGCACCTGCTCTCTGGAACTCGTTGCCTATTGACAGCTGCTAAAAACATTCTAACCAGATGATTAGAAAGCTGAAGTATTTTTAATATGTTGTAGTATTTTTTTGTGTGTGTATTAAAGTAGGGTTGTAGTTTTTTCTTCATTTTATTGTCTTATCTTTTTATAACCTGCTTTGAGGTTTCCCGGTGTATCCAATTGTATGAAATAAATTAAATAAATTTTCAGTCAAGAGGCCTAAGAAATCCTGGAATTGGCTGTTCCACCAATTTATTGGTCATATTCTCTCTCTCCTCTCCTGTGGCCCCACAACGGACTGATGAGAGAGCTACAGGCCTCAGGGTGGCACTTTTAAGAACGAAATAGAGCTCTAACATCAGGTCATCGATCAAGTCAGAGCTTTTCCCCATTCTTTTTTGGACAGTCAACATTGGTAGCAATTTTTATTCCAAGACTAGTACAGGCCAAAGCAACTGCAGGGGACTCTGCAATGTTATTAATGTCAGACTTCTATCTCTCATTAATAGTCAGCACCCACCAACTCTCTTAAAAGGGAAAGGGAAGCTGCACTGAGCACAGAAACACACAATTTAGTCTTTTAATTAATTAATTAATTACACTGAATTTATATCCCACCTTACCTCCAAAGACCTGAAGGTGACGTACATCGTTCTCCCCCTCCAAACTTTATCCTCACAACAGCATTGAGAAGTAAGTTAGACTGATACTGAGCAGCGAGTTTCATGCAGTGTTAGAAATTAACTAGGCATCAGGCGCCTTTGCACCTGGCTTCAACAGCTTCCGACCAAGTGAAAATGCCTGTGCTCAAATGCAGCATTTCCATCATAGTAGTCACATCAGATCAGAGACAGCTGCTTCAAAATTTTCATTTATAACCCCTATGGCTTGAAAACATTCTACATCAGCACTGTTCTGTTTAAGATTATCTTGAGACAATTTCTGGGATTAAATTCCAAAGCCTTGTTAGATAACTACAACCAGAGATCTGTCAATAGATGCCAGACTATCTTCCCTTTAAAGCACTCAGAAGGGGGTGTAAAAAAGGTTGTTCTCCAGGTATAATACCTGTGCTAACATTCATGTGAGGGACGCAGGTGGCGCTGTGGGTTAAACCACAGAGCCTAGGGCTTGCCGATCTGAAGGTCGGTGGTTCGAATCCCCGTGACGGGGTGAGCTCCCGTTGCTCAGTCCCTGCTCCTGCCAACCTACTCTGGCGGGAAGGTAAACGGCGTTTCCGTGCGCTGCTCTGGTTCTCCAGGAGCGGCTTAGTCATGCTGGCCAAATGACCTGGAAGCTGTATGCCGGCTCCCTCGGCCAATAAAGCAAGATGAGCGCCGCAACCCCAGAGTCGGTCACGACTGGACCTAATGGTCAGGGGTCCTTTTACCCTTTACCTTTTAACATTCATGTAATTCCCAGGTGGCCACCTATGCAGGCACTGGCCAGACCCAGATGTGCTTCATTTCAGGAAGGGGGTTCACGTGCCTTCAGTCCATACCCTGGCAGTGCTAGGCAGTTTACACAACCCAGACTGAAGGCCTACAGCTGCAGGGATCTTGCACCAGTCGCTATCACCCAGCCTGGCCTACTCTGCAGGGCTGTTGTGAAGATAGAGAAGAGTTGAGGGAGAACACATTGCATGCTGTATTGAGCTCCTTGGAGGGCAGGCAGGATATAAATTAATAAATATGGGTAAATAAATAACTTCCCACCAAGACACTCATGCTGCATAAGCAAGCCCCTCCCCACAAAATAACAGTTTTATTTCACCAAAGGCCACACGACTTCAAAACACCATCTCACCTTTGGCATTGCATCACAAGCCAACTTTTAATATCATGTCAAATCACTTTCACTCTCTCACATAGCTCTGCAGCTACAATGGAATAGCCTTTCATTTGAATTGCCTCAGCCATCGCTATCAGCCGCACAAACAAATTCTAAATTGATGAGCTCATGTTGGTCAAATGTTGGTGCTTTGCTTTACACAACTCATCTTCACAGAAAACAATTTCACAAGAGCTTAATGAATCTCCTGCATTCTGCAGGGGCTGGACAGCCATCTACTGGGGAGCCTCTACCCCAGGTGTGGGGAACCCGTGGCCCTTCAGATGCTTCTCACCTACATCTCACGTCACCCCTGGTAATTAGCTGTGCTTGCCAGGGCTGATGGGAGTTCTAGTTTAGCAACACCTGGAGGGCCAAAGGTTCCCCACACTTATGCCAAGCAAGGAGTTACGCCTGATGGTCTATCAGGCCACCTTTAACTCTAACCTTGTAAGATTCTTCTTTCTCCTACCCACTACACCACCAAATTTGAAAGGTGGGAGGCTGCCGCACCTGTCAATTACCTGATGTCAAATGAGGTGGCAATGAGTGTTAGAACCTTAAAAGCACTGTGCAGGATTCTCTGCAAGCCTCCTGCAAACAGCTCTGTGCAGCACTTTGAAGTGCCAGAAATCATCTGGTTGCGAGGAACTTCAAAGCTCAGCACGCAGTTCTTGGGAGGTCCCAGAGGATGGTCAGGACTTAAGAAGAATCGAGCATGAGTCTCCTAAAGTGCCAACTATCAGCTGGTGCTTCTGGCCCAGTGCAGCCACCTTTTTAACCCGTCCACCCCTGGCATCATATAAGACATCAGGTGACTGGCAGGTGAGTGTAGCATGGCCAAAACAGTCTGGTGAGTCAAATGAGCAGGCTTTATTAGTCTGATGGGCTGGAGGTTGCTCAGTCCTGCTATAAACTGTGTTCATGCATTCGCAGGACATACAATGTTGTAAAACGAGTAGGGAGGCAAGCAGATGCAAGCCTCCAACCCCCCAACCCCAATTAGGATATTTAAAAAATGGGGTCAAATGATGGTCAACATTAGCTCTTCTGTATGTATTCATTTAATGCAACTATCACAAAGAAAAGCTGACAGCGATTAACATAGATGTCATTAACTACTTTTACAAAACTGTCCAGATGATTCCTTTTGACACTAGATTTGCCTGACCTTGCCTACAGTCCTGTGCACTTAATTATGCACAGGATCTGGCTGGGAATTCTATTTTTTTTTAAAAAATTAATATTTATTAAGTGTCAGGGAACTGCCATCGGAAGGAAGGGAGGTGAAAGGACTCAGACAGGTTGGAAGAGACTCAGCAGCTGAAGAGGGAACCAGCAAGGGGAGAGAAGCTGAACTGAGGGAGGTGAAAGGGCTCAGACAGGTTGGAAGAGACTCAGCAGCTGAAGAGGAAACCAGCAGGGGAGAGAAGCTGAACTGAGGGAAAGGGAGCTGGGGGATGGCTCAGAGATACTTCCAGCGAAAACAGTGGTGAGGTTTCCGGACCTCCTGTAGGGACACCCACTCCTCGCCGGAAACTGTCACGCAGAGAGTCCAGAAGACGTGTTTCCGTTAAGGAGCTTTTATGTTGGAAGCGATTACGAAAGCAACCACTGTCGGAATCTTCTAGTGACTAGAGGAGCCATGTCAGAGGGGCTCAGTCACAGACAGAGGTTTGTGGACTTGAACAAACTCTGAGGGAATACGATTTTACGCACAAGCAGCTCATCTTCCCATCACAGCATTCCGACAGTCTCTGAACGCAGCTTGTGCAGGAGAAGGCATAATGAGCAACCCAGCAGGAACCGGAGAAGCAGGGGCTGGAGCGGGTCCAAGCCTGGAAGAAAGGTACCGGGTGTTGGAGGTCCAGCTGGCGCTGCAGACGGCGAGGCTGGAGGAGAGGAGGGCTCAAGATGCAGACAAAGGGAGAAAGCCACCCAGCTCGCCAGAAAGGTACCAGGATTGGTGCAGAAATTTGGGGGGGAGCCCAAAGACTATCATAGCTTTCGGACAGAAATGCAATATGCCCTCAATCTGCAGTTTGATGATTTCCTGATGAGGAATCACGAGTGGCTTTTGTGATTGGGCATCTTGAAAAGGGGGCGAGAGACTGGGTTAGACCCCTGATGGCAGCGCATAGTGACGTCCTAAAGGACACGATGAA